TACTAAGTTTGTGGCAGTGACCAGGATACGAACCCACGACACTACTGCCTTGGGCCCGAAGTCCACGACGCTACCAACTGAGCCACCGACTCACCATTCCGATGAGTTTAAATTTCCGATGAATTTTCAATGAATTTGCAATGAATTTTCAATGAATTTTGTTTGAATTTCCGATAAGTTTACTCAAATATTGCATAACTAATGGAAATATTCACATTATCACTTTTAAATGATATTTTTTTCAACAAAGGTATATTTTTTTATTTGGCATTGAGAGTATGGTTAACAGAAGATATAAAACACGGTAACTTTTTTTTAACTGAAGTTCTATGTTTAGAAAATTCAAATTAAAGAACAATTCGCTTTCTAAACTGTGAATTTTTCGATTGCCTAAGAAAGATGTATTAATGGTTGATTTTATCTTTAGTGATGGATTGATTCCGAATCGTCAATAACTATTGTTACTCAATAACTTGTTGTTTATCAATAACTATTGTTAAAAACTGGAGAAAATGACTTTATTAATCAACAAAAATTTTAATGTAGCATGCAATTAAAGTAATTAATTTAAATCCGGCTCCCGAGAAGCGATGGCCAGCGGCCGGCGGCCGAGTTCGGTGGAGAATTTGACTTCTCACTTTACACCTGCCTGAAGGCTAACCTAATGGTTCTACAAAAAAATTGTAAATGTAAAAAATGAAATTAGGTTCATTTTGAACAACTTTCTCGCTGACGAAAATCCCCTGACCAAAAAATTAAAAACTTATCAGCAGACCAACTTTTTTATGTCCCAAATTTTACACAACCTTGTTTTGCTACATATTTATATATTTTTCAAATGGGTTAAAATTTCAATTTACATAATTCTAAAACAATATTACTAAGGTGATATATTTTGATTTAATACCTCAAAATTTCAGAATTTTATCTCCACTTTAAGTGGTTGTTTTGACGGTGTTAATGAATCACGGCGAATTAAAAATATTGTGGTCGCCGCGGGCAGTGTAGCTGTCAATTGCACCTCTGCTTAACACAGAAGGTGGCTTCAGCACATGTGTCCTCTAGTGTTTAAAGGATAGGGATTGCCACTCTAGTATAGCACGTATGCCTAGCCTAGATCCAGAGAACTCCGCTAGGGGCAGCAGTGTCCGGGAAGATTCTACTGGGCGTCACCCCTGGGCAGAGGTGGAGGTGGCAACGATGGCCGCGTATGCATTCTTGAAACTTCATTGGGTGTAGATCAGCCAACCAAAAACCAGTCGGATTGAGTTGTGGGAGAAGATTGGTGGGGGTTCTATTGTTCGGCTGTCAAGGATTTTGTTGGCAAAATCGTGCAACAGCGCCGAAAGAAAGATTCAAACGTCCAATAGAGCCGAAACAATTTAAAGCGTTGGGATTCGGCACTGTTGGATTTATTTTGATTTCGGAGCTAATGGAATGATTCTAAATTCGGTACTCTTACTCATTTTTAGTTTTCGTTCGGTGGTATTGGATTTTAAAATACATCTTTCGGCTCTGTTACACAAACATCTCTTTCGGCGCTATTGGAATTTAAAATGCAACAGCGTCGAACGTGAAATTTGGCGAATTTTGACTAAAAACATGATTCGGCACTATTGGATTCGGTGCTATGGCACCTTCTCAGACAACGCATCCCCTTTTCAGTCAAAAGATTTTTCTGACATGTGCCTAGAATTCGGAATTAAACACATCACAACAACACCTTACTATCCAAATCCCAGTCATGCCGAACGTGTAAACAAAAACATAAAAATAGCCATCAGAATCTATCACTCTCAAAATCAAGCACAATGGGACACAAACCTTCACTTTTTCCAAATTGCTCTAAACTCAGCCAAACACAACAGCACCGGTTTCTCACCAGCAGAATTGTTCCTAGGCTATCAAATCAATCACCCCCTTGAACTAAATTGGAATTTAGACCGTCTCATTCCGGACCAACCAATAGATATCAGACACACATGGGCACAGGCACACAGCAACCTCAGAAAAGCCAGAGAAACCAGAACAAATCAATACAACAAAGGACGCCAACCAGTTGAATATAAAGTAGGTGATTGGGTGATGTATCGATTAAATCATCAAAGTAGCGCAGTGAACAAAGTGAATGCTAAACTTTTACCAGTTTGGTCCGAACCCCTAATAATTCAAGCCTTCACTTCACCAGTAACTGTAATTTTGGTAGACCCAAAGTCAGGGAAAACAGTTAGGAGAGCTCATGTCTCTCAATTGAAATCCTTTTTTCATCCAAAAAATTGAAACACACGACCAAAACAAAAACCGCATTGCACACGTATCTAAATGAAACCGCACACAGGCACCAGTGATATTAGGTTAGTTAGTTTGTAAGACCACCACCCTCACACCACACTTAACACCTGTCGCTGGCATCCACACTGGCGAAGCGCACTGAGTCTAGGGTGTCACTTCTCTGAGGTGTCATCTACAGTAGCGGTCGCCAGTGTGTCGCTCGCCCCGACAGCCTCACACTTACACTTACACCCACACGCCAACCCCCTGACACAGTCACAGGTTAGCTAATTTTTTATATTTTTTGAAATTTGCGGTCGAGCCATAACCTTTATTTTAATTTTTTTAATTTCAACAGCTCGAACCTGCAAACTGTGACTTGTGGAGGGAGGAAGGCAAGAGCTCTTACACTTTCACACATACACTCACACAACATTACACCAGTTACCGGAATTCGTATATTATATTTCATGTTTCAGATATTTGTGTAATATATTTATTTGTTATTTGTTACTATTTATTGTATATTTACTGTTGTTATATGTTATATTAATTTACTTGTGTTCAACAGCATATATATTTTTTTTTTTTTTTTTAATGGACCAACGTGACACCCCAACCATGGAGGTCACCCTTTCTTCCGTTTTTGCTGCTCGGGGGAGGGGGGGAGATCTTGTGGAGTCAATCTCCACAACACTGTTTGAATGTCCCGCCAATCTCAACCCCTACCGCTGCTCGCGCATGCGCAAGGAGGCAAGCGGGTAAGACGAGTGAAAAACGTCTGTCGTGTGTCGTGCTCCTGACTGCAAACACCATGGAAGGCTAAGTTCTTGAGAAATGGGGGGACGCCCCCTTAAGGTATTGTGTCGTAGCACTAATTATTGATAATATGTAATTTCAGATCATGGTAGCAATTCACTATAACATTCTTTCCATTATTAGTAATTCATCATTAAATAAAATGTTAGTTCACGTTGTGTCCAGTCAACTCATACAGTAATTATTTCATAAGTTGAACAATGTACATATTTCTGTGATATAAATGCATTAATTAATGAAACAATCATCAAAGCTGGCTATTAGGGCCTGTGATTTGCGGTAAATTGTCTCCTCTGCATCAATAAATGTGTTCAGTTAACGTTTCCAACAAGAACGATTTGGTCTGGACTGGAATTTAATTCACATGACCAAGTCACCAAAATGTGGCACCATTATGCCACATTCCAAGGCACGACAAACAATGTAATACCCTTTTTCCATTCAAAGAAAATGTTGTAATTGAAATATGTAACATTCAAGAAAACTGCCATGGTAAAAATAACTCTTCTTAAAGACAATTGTCTTTGATCAAGTAAGTTTTATTCATCAAACAATTGTTTGATGAATAAAACTTACTACCGGTAATTAATTTGTAATTTTTAAAATTTGTCGTTTGTACATCTAACATCTATACTATTATAAGTGATTTAAAAACTTTAATTTCTTGATTTCTTACGCTTATCTAGACATATCATCGTATTGCAAATTGCAATCATGCAATAAATTTGCAATTGGGACATTGCAATCGCGGCAAAATTCTGATCGTATCCCTCCGGCGGTCGTGTAGATAATTTTTGTCTCCAATGATCACGGCAAATTCTTGAACATCTCTCATGCTTATGTAGACATTATCATCATCTTCCGCAATTGTGGCTAAATTCTAATCATCTCCCGAGGTTGTGTGGACATCATTGTCGTCTAACGCGAACGCGGCAAATTCGGTCACGGAAACATCATCGTTGTCTTGCAGTCGCGGCAATAGCAGTAATTTTCCGATTGCGCAGGTCGTGAAGTCGGGTTGTGAACTGAGTTACTCAGCAAGAACAGGTCAAACAAGGTGGTTCGCATGACTGTTGAGTAAACACTCATTGACGGGTATCGGAATAGAATTTTGAAGATCGATTCTAAATACCAACGTCCAAGTAACGGTGGTATCGAGAATCGGTATCGAGAATTGACACTTCCTTAATTACAATCCATATTTTTAAATTTGTTATAAAGAAAGTTAGTCAGCAGCACTGGACCTTTGAAAGCACTCTCTGAAAAGAATAATCAAAGGCTAGGAGCACAAAGCCCTAAGAAACTACCTTTTTGCTTACCTTTTGTCCCTGCACTAGATCAAAAGCTTTAAAACGACACATCAATTGTAAAAATCAGTTAGGTAGGATGGGTGGAAAAGGGATACTACACCCTAATTGTATTAATTATATAGATAGAAGTTATACAATCCAACTCATTTTGTTAAATGGTAATTTAATCCATACAACTTTTTATGACCATTTGATGGATATAAATTGACTCTCTCAAAAACGTTTTGTCACATACACGAAACATTTGCTTCTAATACAATCCTTGGTACATTTATTTTTAAGAAGTAAAGGGAAAATACAACTCCACACTGCAATAAATTGTAGTTGGAAAATTTCACTTTTTTAATTTCTCTGATTAATTTTATTTTGCTTTTTATGTGACTCTCAACCGAAATTTGCCAATATATACACAAAATTACAAAAAGTCATATTCCAATCATATTCCAATACAAGTCCCATTGGGTGTTGTATCATAAAACTCACGACACTTATATAGGCCTACAAAGATCATGTATGATTACATAATCGCTGCAACTATTACTGCAAATAAATTGCTAATGTTAGCTTTAAGTAACACCTGAAGTCACAACAATTACTCACCTGTGCGCAGCTGGAAAGTGATTCCGTTCTCCGTCTCTCTGGCATTGCTGGTGGTTGGCGCCCCTGACTGAGTGTGTACACGACGGGCCGTGATGTGAGGTCGTGAAGTCGGGTTGTGAACCGAGTTACACGGCAAGAACGGGTCAAACGAGGTGGTTCGCATGGCTGTCGAGTAAACACACATTTTATTATCAATATATCAAATTGCATTTCTACACAAAAATATGACTTAAGTTAGACAAATTATTCTTCAATTTAAAAATTTCTTCAAGTTTAACCACGATAGAAAAAAGTTTGTTTTTTTACAGTAAAATTATAATATTAGATTTTAGAACAATACCATCATTATTGATATAGACAGGCACACACAGACGCAGAACTCAGTTTACATGATGTTATGCTCACAAATTAATAGTCACAATAAAGAGATATTCCAACAAACCTACATTCATGGTAAATATTGTGTCTCCAAGTAGACCTGTAGAAATAAATGGAAATATTCCCAGACACATTTCTTACAACATTTTAACTATTCAACTCAATAATACTTTGTTTTTTTCCATATATTTTCCGGTTTACATAAATGTTGTCAATGATAAGCACCTGTCTAAAACATCAAGATTAGTACCTAAACCAGTCAAAGCTGGTAAACAGTCAACACAAGAATCAAGAATCCTGAAAGAAACCAACAACTAGTATAAAATGAGGACAAAACGGACATGCCTTTTTTCTTTTTATTTTGTCCTAGGACGCTAGGCACGAGCCCTGGATTATTGTTCACATTACACATTATTTCAGGCTAGAACTAGGGATTGCAGCATTATCACTTGACAAAATCCATTGGTGACCTGGCGGGGATCGAACCCAGGACCTCAGGGACTGAAGTCCGGCGCTCTAACCACTACGCCAGCTTGCTCCCCAAACGGGACATGTCTGCAAAGAAGGTGACTTAAGCAAGACCGACCTACCAATTTGTGCAGACATGCTCCTACCCTGTATTCATACTTATTACGCTGCTAATAAGTAGTCTAAGTTTGGTAAATAATTATTGTTGAACTGACCGTGTATTGTCGGGGAGGACAGCTGCACTTGATGAGGCCGTGCAGTAGACCGGGTTTGAGTGGCAGTGGTCGGGTGAGTGGCAGTGTTGACCCGGGCCTGACTGTTCTGTGCTGCGGCTGGTGCTGGTCCAGACTGGGTAGAGCTACTGCTAGCCTGTTGTTGCTGCTGCTGTTGTTGTTGCTGTGTCTGGTATTGCTGCAGTGTCGCTCCCATAAACTGGCCTGCCAGAGCCGTTATCAAGTTTTGAACGAATTCTGGTGGGTTTTGCGAAGCTGCAAATCCAACCGTGGGAATTAATCATTTTTAATAGTCGAACGTCGCCAATGTTCATACATCAAGAGTGTATGAGAAATTTGGGAAATGTTAACTAATCAGGATTACTCTAATAGACTTAAAATACCCCCGCCACAGCAAACCTGCCGTCTAAGCGAATTTCCATTTGGCTGAATTGATTTTCAATTGATCTATTTAAATAACATTAGGTTTAACGAGTACCTAGGTTTGCTGCTACAAGGAAACTAATAAATAGTGTGTTTTAAGTAAAATAATTATTGCTTAGTATAAAATGAATATATTTGCCAAGTTTGATAAAAAGATATCCATAAACAAGCAAACTACAACATTTTACAATATTCTCCATAAGAATAACATGGGAATTTTAAATTTAAATTTTGTTTAGTTTTCTCCGTAACCAATAACCGTACAAAAACACTTTGATATACTGAATTGTTTGTTTTTTTAAGCTCTTTAAGAAGGTTTAGAGAAAAATTGGAAAATTTTGTGTTTTGAGGGTCAAAAGTGAGAAAAACCAATTTTTACCCCATAAAACCCCCCATAAAATCCTGTTCCCATGGTCCGATCATGCTGGATCGCGAACTCATTCAAGTTTATCCCGCCTTACACCTTCAAACCAAATTTCATCAAAATCGGATAAAAATTACTCAAGTTATCGTGTTCACGGACACATATATATATAAGCAGCAGTACCTAGGTTTGCTGCTACAAGGAAACTAATAAATAGTGTGTTTTAAGTAAAATAATTATTGCTTAGTATAAAATGAATATATTTGCCAAGTTTGATAAAAAGATATCCATAAACAAGCAAACTACAACATTTTACAATATTCTCCATAAGAATAACATGGGAATTTTAAATTTAAATTTTGTTTAGTTTTCTCCGTAACCAATAACCGTACAAAAACACTTTGATATACTGAATTGTTTGTTTTTTTAAGCTCTTTAAGAAGGTTTAGAGAAAAATTGGAAAATTTTGTGTTTTGAGGGTCAAAAGTGAGAAAAACCAATTTTTACCCCATAAAACCCCCCATAAAATCCTGTTCCCATGGTCCGATCATGCTGGATCGCGAACTCATTCAAGTTTATCCCGCCTTACACCTTCAAACCAAATTTCATCAAAATCGGATAAAAATTACTCAAGTTATCGTGTTCACGGACACATATATATATAAATCTATATATATATATATATATATATATACAAATATAAAAATTTGAACGAATGGTGTTTTTGGCCTCTGGGGACATCAAAATGAAAAAGTAAATCGGTCCCGGGCCTAAGTCTTACCATGAGACCTACGGTAATAGCTACTTCCCTATAGGGAAATTCGCTAATTGTAACAATATCAGTATTACAGTATGCCTTGATAGTTTGACACTGGCTGTGATGATGTGACATGTCAGCAGCGGCCTAAGACGAGTTTGCCGTGCTCAAAAACTAGAGCCTTTTTATTGTTTTGGATACACAAAAACTCAATACTTTATTAACTATCTCATTGTTTATATTTTTATCTAACATCCAAAGTGAAAGCAGTTGAATATTGCAAACTATTTTAAACAGTAAGAAGCTAAAGAATGTACAGTAGAGATGTAGGTTGAAAAGTTTGTTTATTTTTGTCAAGTTTTATACTACTCATTAAAAGTTGTTGCTTTATCTAATGTTTTAACTACTCCCTATTTATAAAATTTATATTGTTCCTTTTTGCATAACTACGCCCAAATGTCCTACATACTCCCTTTAGTTTGACATTTCGATAGTTCGACATCCCCTTAGTACTCACAAAGTCAAACTATCGAGGTTCTACTGTACTATTACGCACATTTGGAATACTGTAATATAAAATTCTTTTTGGCAAACAACTTGAATTCAAAAATATTTCTAAATGAAATCAAGACCAATCACATTACTATCATGACAAGTTCTGATATTGCCAAAATAGATTGTCTACTATTTCAAACCATAAGAGTGTGCTTTAAAGGATCCTACCTGATGGTTAATTGGACGTTTTCACAATAGATTTGCCACATACTGAGAACATATTTTCAGTTCAAGCATTGATGAAACTGAAGAAAAATCTAACCCTAGAAAGATATTTTAAATAGTATATACAATGGTTTTTGGATGAAATTGAAAATGAAGAGAACATACAACGAGTGATTGAAGAGGAGGGGAAAAACAAGACTAATGTGGTTCGGACACTCAAGGAAAATGCAAGACACAAGGATTCATAGGAAAATGGATTTCACGATAGAGGGATGGCGGCCAGAAGACCCAAGTACAAAAATTAGGTCGAGGGGATGTGGTAATGAGAAAAGAGAGGTTAAACGGTGAAAGAAAAGGAGCTGTGAAGTGGACGAGAAAATGGAGAGGACACAATAAAAATAGTGAAGAGAATAACAATTTGATGACTCACTGCCATCTGCAGAGGCGGTTCCAACAGGTGCGTTGGTCACGACATGAGCTTCCACAGAGTCTATCATGATAGAACCCGAGGGAGCTACGTCTACGAAGAACTCCAGCCCAGGAGTCATAGACCCTACAATCATGTCAGGTTACCGTACTTGGGCAAGTAAGAGAAATTAATATTGCTGCAACTCGGTAAAATTATATCGATTGTATCTTATGATTATCAACCTAATTTGATAAAACAAATTTGAAACGGAATGTTAGAGGAAGGTGTAAGCGATGTTAGGAAACTAAACCAAAGGGTAAAATCATCATGTTCCTTAGAACCATTTAGTCTTTATTTTCCAAATCCATTTAGATTGAAATAGGCCTAAATGAAATTATCAATTACTGTCAATGATAATATTCTTCCTTGGCATTTCTGTAACCAATTTGTTGTTTTGATCAGACCACAAAAATCGCTAACAGTATTAGTACAATTAAGTATGGTTAGTTTTTATGTAATTAACCAACTACAGAGATGGGGGTTCAGACGCATTCAAGACAAAAAAGTGTATCTAATCATCAAGTCAAGATCCGACATCTAATTTCTTAACATTCAGATCAGATGAGTGATGAGTGACAAGTTTACTATAACAATTAACAAGTACCTTGTCGGGTACATTACTGATGTCATGTCAACAACTCGAGTTCAACAAAGTCAAGTGATCTATTTCCAAGAACGTTTCATGCAATAATAGACTTGTTGATGACATTTAAAATAAATACACACAAAGGGCACATTTTGATTTCGCAGACTTTTTACTTTTGATTTTAGTCCAGAATTGAATTTATAATCTTTAATTAAAAATGTACTGTAAAAAAATATGTATGCCAATCACGTAGACGGTTCTATGAACCATTACGGTTAGTGTAAGACATGGTGGCGTCCTGCGAGGAGCCTAGGTTTGTAAGGATTATTTTTTGTTTAAAAAGCACTGTTTTCATTTCATTACACACAAAGGACATAGAAACGCACAAAATAACATTTCTAAAGTAGGCCTACTAATGACCAGTCATGGTAGGGAGGCATGCTCAAATGGATTTTTCCTACAGTTCCCTGACAAAGTGGGCTTCCTTGCACGGATTATAGAACGCCAAGTAGCTAATTAATGCATTTACTTACTTTCCCCGCACTATTTTTTATTTTTTTGCCACACTCCAGTATTCTAACCAAACAACACAAAACTGTACTTTTTTGGATTAAACCTAACCTAAAAACGTGTTGTATGGTGTATAAAAGACTAATTATTTATATGATTTATAGTAACTGTAGGAAAAATAGTATTTGTACCGGTAACGTGAGTGCAAAGTGCATTTGCTGCACTCGAGAAACTTTGCACACTTGCCTGTGGCTCGTGCGTAAACATTTTTCTCATGGGCAGAAAAGTGCCATTTCGAACACTAGCTACACAAATAACTATTAATTGATGAGTTTAATCGAGGTCCACTTACCAACACGGGCGATGCGCAGAGGTGAAGCAAAGCCTGGGGCGGGCGTGGTGGAGGGCTGGGGCGTAGTGGAAGGCTGGGGCGTGTTAGACGGCTGGGGCGTAGTGGAAGGCTGGGGCGTGGTAGACGGCTGGGGCGTGGTAGACGGCTGGGACGTGCTAGACGGCTGGGGCGTGGTAGAGGGCTGAGATGTGGTAGAGGGCTGGGGCGTTGCTGAGACAGACGCAGAGGGAGAAGTAGTCGGCGGATGTCCCGAAAGCTCGTTCATTGCCTGGACAAACCCTTCGGACCAAAGCCTCTCTTCTCCGATCACTCCGACATTGGCACTGCCAGTGCTCGCATTCTGCTGGGTGGCAGCTTCATTTGTTGCAGCCGCCTAGAATCGTCAACAATAGAATAGCAATCTTATTATTAGAAAAATATTGTATATCAGTGTGGCAAAACTGGTATTATCACGTTGGAAGAATTTGAGGTAGGCATATAACAGAGAAATGCGCTCAAAGAAAGGGGTAGAAAACCCACAAAAGAAATGGAAAGACACAAGAAGACCTAATGTGAAAGAAAAACTCAACACAAATTTGTCATCATATGTTAAAAAACTGTAAACAAAAAATAAACAAAATCACTCTTTAGTAGGCCTCCTTTGGTTAAAAGCACTAGCAATACCTAGAATAGTACTTAAGTGCTACACTATTGTGAAAATGATAGGCTGAGTTATAAACTGTAGGTCCCTTAGTTGCCATTAGATGTATGGGCAATTAATTAACAGCTGTGTCTAAGGAATGTCGGCCTTAGTCACTAAAAAGACTACAAGATCGCGCCACTCATCCTACACTCATCTCCATTCATACTTGGCTTAAAATACCTACTTTGTATGGTCGCCATTTAATAAGAAAGAAAAGAAAAAGAAAAGAAGGGTGGATAGGCTACAGCACCAAAGTGTAAGATGTAAAAACTACATTCAACTCAGTCAAAAGGTTACAGTGCTCACCATCAAATCTGGAGCAAACCCAAGCTAGATCAATTCTGAACCAATCCCCTACAAAAAAAAATTATAAAATGCCAATGAAATAAATCAACACAAAAACTGGATATTACCACATTCCCGTAGGCCCCGGCCATGCTGCCATTGTTAATCGCTTGAACAATATTCTCAGCCAAAGAGTTCAGTAGCTGGCTCCCCCTCTCTGCTCCCCCAGCCGAAGCTGAGCTACCGTTACCTGAAGTTTGTCGGGAGGTGGAGGCATTTATTGTGCCTAAATTTGCTGATACCTAGAAATTAATAGCATAATTTATTTTTTAAGTGAACTTAAATTGTGAACTGTTTGAGATTCTTAAGTGTGGTTAATTACAAAATGTTCAAGAAAAATAAGTACCAAAATGAAAAATAGTGCTGGCTCACTGAATTATCATTGAATTTCAAAGAGTTAAGGCACGAGGCCCGGCCATTTTTGTGACTCAAAATTTAAATGGTGGTCTCTAGAAAGAATCAAATCACTGAATATGAGTGCCGATAAATTTTATCACTCAAAAGTTTTATGCATTTTCAATTGTAAAACCTCACAAATCTCCTTTGCTTTGATACTCGATACCAAAATACTCTCGATAGCAGCGGTATCGAGGTATCATCGATACGCGATACTTGCCTGTTTTGGGTTCGATACCGATACTGACACTGAATGGTACGAATCGGTGCGGATTAAGTCAGTTCAGAGCGGGTAAATTGCCGTTACAAATCCTAGCTGTTTGCCTACTTAGTAGTGTTTTAGCGCTAACACAGCTCCCTATTTTAGTTATCGGAAAGAGCATTCTCAGTTAAGGGGGAAAAAATTACGATTGCTGTAATATCGCCTGACACAAGTATTCAATTTTTATAAATTACTGATTAAATAATCAAAATTTAAAAAATCATCCTTAAACCTGCAATTTATTAATAACTTCCTAAAAATAGCGATATGTCGATACCAAAATTTATCGAATCTCTGTACAGACACCTGAAAAATAGATTCTTAATACTGATAATTTCAATTTTACCAAATTTTCTGAAGGATTACTACACCAACCCCTGGCTTTATGTACTTTCATATAGTATAATTTTGGATTAATGGGTTGTTTTCCAAGTGGCCTACAGAAATAATAATGCAGAAATTACAAAAATTGCATGTATCTAATGTTTTAAACCCTTCTAAATACATTAAATAAATACCATGTTAAAGGTAAATGAAGGTAAATAAAAAAAAAATTCTAGAAGTGTGCCATTTTGAAATTTTTGGTCAAGCCAAACTCGAGGTTATACGGAGACGTCATCGTTGTCTCCCGTGGTCACGGAAACGTCATCGCCATCTTCCGCAATCACGAAAAAATTGTCGTCGTCTTCTGCGGTCATGGAAACGTCATTGTCTTTATCTGCAATCACGGAAACGTCATCGTCGTCTCCCGCGGTTACGGAAACGTCATCGTCGTCTCCCGCAGTCACGGAATCGTCATCGTCGTCTTCCGCGATCACGGATACGTCATCATCGTCTCCCGCGGTTACGGAAACATCATCATAGTCTCCCATGGTCACGGAAACGTCATCGTCGTCTCCCGCGGTAACGGGAACGTCATCGTCGTCTCCCGTGGTTACAGAAACGTCGTCGTCGTCTCCCGCGGTCACGGAATCGTCATCGTCGTCTTCCGCGATCACGGATACGTCATCATCGTCTCCCGCGGTTACGGAAACATCATCATAGTCTCCCGTGGTCACGGAAACGTCATCGTCGTCTCCCGCGGTCACGGAAACTACATCGTCTTCTGCGACCACGGATACGTCATCGTCGTCTCCCGCGGTTACGGAAACGTCATCGTAGTCTCCCATGGTCACGGATACGTCATCGTCATCTCCCGTGGTCACGGAAACGTCATCGTTGTCTCCCGTGGTCACGGAAACGTCATTGTCGTTATGCGCGACCGCGGCAAAAAATTCCCGGTTAAATACAAAATTCACGCATTATTCCCGGTTTTCCCGGTCGGTGGACACCCTGGTATATGCATGATCGCCGTGCCGGTGTTGCAGTTACAGTGTATGTCATATGATCCATCCGTATGTAGAATGTTGAGGTTATCGATAGGTATCGAGAGTACTTTGGTGGTATCGGTATCGACAATTTTTGGTATCAGCCCATCTCTACGAATAAGATTGTAAATTACGCTAATTTTGGTATTTTAAAAAGGCCTACTTTAACTGACATTTTACAAGGTTCTGGAGAGTATGTTAACTTATTAACAGAACCTTAATGAAAGAGCAACCATTATATTTTTTATTAAAGATGGCTTTAGACCACGGTTTTGAAGGATTTTGTGGTGGATAGGTTTAACAGCAGGCTTACCTCACCTAATTCCACAACCAAAACAACCTACAAGAAAGACTCTACAGATGAGGCCAGAAGCTCTAAACATTCTATGTGTTCAGTAACGTAGCTTATGATAAACTACAGCATCTTTTGTCACACACATGTACAGGGATGTCAGTCTGAACCACAGCCGAGTGTTGTATGAGTACAGGACGACACCGCAGCTGTCTGGGCGGCGGCTGAGACATGTCACACAGTATGTCACTGATAGCATGGTAGCAGTGGGCCAGTAGATGCATCACCTCCGACACTCCGTTGAACACTCTCTGGCTGCTGGCTACAGTGTCTTGGCCCTCCTGTCAACAAATTACCATTATATTATCAAGATGCACATACAGGGTGTTGTCTGGACATATTTTATGGACTTGTTCCTTGGGCTAAGACAAACATAAAATGCCGTAAAGTATGGGTCTAAAATGCTGTATAAGTATGGGTCTAAAATGCGTAGATTTCTGTTTGTGTGTCTGTTTGTGATTTTTAAGAATTATTTTATACCTTGGGCATTTTTGAAGACAGAAATTTCCATTAGTATAAATGTGTATTTTAGAAAGTAAAAAGAGCTTAAAAAGTTTGTTCCAATATCACAAGCCGTTTCAATATGGTGGTCATTTAAAATCTTGAATGCCAAATTTGATGAAAACCTTAAATATTAAGACAATGTATTTTAAGATTAAAAGATAGAGAATTTAAATCCATATCAAATGAGACCTTGTTAGTTAAAATCGGATGACAAATCGGATGAGTTTTCATTTTTTTTTTTCTACATTCGGTTATACAATTTAATAGGACTACCACACGGTTTATTATTTCTTATTTTACGGAGCAGTAAAACTTGTGTCCTACAGCAAAGATAACTTGTGTCCTTAAAATCACAATCAAGGAGAGCTGGGTCCAGTTTTAAATCATTTTTTTTATTATTTCCAGTAAACTTTTTATTGTTAGACAAGCTATACAATCAGCCGCACCAAAAAAAACCAAAACAACAACAATTATATTATTACTACCAATTGATTTCATTATCCTGTATCCTAAACATGATTTGGCGTCCACAATTCTAATTCTAATTAAGTCATTTACCTAATTATTGTTTTATTTCTTCAATTGACTAGATACTAGGAATTAGTTTCACAGGTTGCTGGTAAAGTAGGTGATTAATTTAAGTAGGTGATTAATTTAAGATTAAAAACTATTATTTTGTACAACCTTATTTTTTACCCTCACTAGTCACCACTAGTAGTCCTCACTACAGTAGACTCCCTCTTATCCGGACACCTTTTAACTGGAATAAACTCGGCGGAAATGATATCTCTTTAACCGGACAATTTTTATCAGCACATTGGTTTAACCAGACTAGATCGGCAGGAAGTGGGCAGTACTGAAACGACTGTTCTCGTGGGAAAGATTTGAGACCAGTGATGACGTGTCTAAATACAATGCTCTCCTAAATTTAAGTCAAACACCACAGTAAACAGTCCGTTTTAACGAGTTTTTGGTTTTTTAACATTTGTCGGTTTAACCGGTAAACCCGATATCTGGACTGGCCTTGGTCCCGAGGAGTCCGGATAAGAGGGAGTCTACTGTAGTAGAATGTTTGGTACTTTTAACAGTGCTGAATTAACCAAAATGCTTAATTACTGAGCTCTTGAAAAATAATATTTGAGGACATCTACAATACAGCTAAAGTATCTAAAGAACTGTAATGGATACCAAGCCATTTTTCACTGCTGTACTGGTTTTACTATGTTTTACTATATTTGACCCAGCTTATTGCTAAAAAACTCTGCAAAACAAACCAAGAAGGCTTATTCAGGACAAATAATCTTTTTTATCTTAAAGATCGATGCCTAGTTATTATAATGATGTTATTTGGTCCAGGATCACTTCTTGAAAATTAAAATGGTATAAGATTACCTGTTTCTGTCTATGATCCTAAATTTGTAGTAATGAGCTACCTACCGTTTTCGAGGTTATAACCTCATCATCAGGCTCTTGTCACTCTTGCGAGGTCGTTGAGTTTTACAAACACACAAAACACTGACATTTAAAATAAATAAAACACAAGACATTGACGGACGAATACGATTTAACATAAATCGTATTCGTCCGTCAATGTCTTCATAACTTGAGTCATGACAAAATGTTTGCCCGTGCCGCGGCGTGTGCGGAACTAGTTCCCGAATTTATGTTAAATCGTATTCGTCCATCAATGTCTTGTGTTTTATTTATTTTAAATGTCAGTCAGACCTCGCAAGAGTGACAAGAGCCTGATGATGAGGTTATAACCTCGAAACCGGTAGCTCATTAATACAAATTTAGGTTCATAGACGGAAACAGGTAATCTTATGCCTTGTTATTAATTTGTTGGATTATCAAATGCCTGGTTAGTGCGGTTTTACTACTTTTTTGTGTGTGGATTAGTGGGTAAGCAAAATAGATGGTCTAACACAATGAGTTAGTTTATACAGTAGAACCTCAATAAGAAGTGTCTCAATGGGGTTAGGGAAACAGTATTGTTATCCATGTGCTCTTCTTGTAGAGTGTAGAGTTATCAAGTTCATTTTGGCTTACAATCCTTTTGTCAAGGTTAATGAAAGTACTGAGCATCTTTAAAATGAGTGAATTTAAAAGCAAGACTTATGCTTAAATGTACTTTTTAAATTGTAATTTACAGTGCAGTACCGTTATTGTTGTGTAACAAAGTTTAGAATATATTAGTAAATAAGATGTAGGCCTAAGTAAAAAAAAAAAAAAAAAAAACCACTAGCTTTTTTATTTTTACATTATGGAGTAGGAGTTTCAAGTCTAGGCTTTTTCTAATCCCTGAGTCGGAGTTGATGATTTTCCCTCTAAAACATCCATTGTGGGAACTGTCCAATACAGTTATGAATGGTGTTATAAAAGTTGCTTCTCAAAATGACTTGTTATTGAGGTTCCGAGTCACATTTTAATTTTTAAAGAAAGGCCAAAAGACCTTTTATTGAAGTTGTTTGACAGAAATAGTTATGCTGTGGAGGTAAATTTAATATTATGGGTTATAGCTTTTCAAACTAATTTGAAAAGTCCACTTGCAATTGAGTTAGTCGTATTAAGAGTCATGAAAACGAGGTGCTACTGTAGATCATCTCACCTGTTCAGTGAATGCTGGGTCATCCTGCATCAGCTGACGGTACTGAGTCATGAACGGCTGCAGTCTGCTGTTGACCTCTGTCACCTGATCCATCAACTCAGCCAGAGACCGAGTACCAACAGAGCGAGACCTGCCGTTGGAGTCACTCTCACCACCGTTCCTAAAACATGCCACATGCACATGTTAATAGTAAGCATAGGATGATGGAGCTTGAATCCATCTCAAAAGTATACACCCTCAACTTCACAATGTGTATTGAAAATTTGAAAATATCATTTACAACATTAGGCTAATAAAGATTCATTCCATTTTCCATTCTAATCATACACATCGGAATCAATCATCTTTATTGTGTGTTTTTAAAGTTCATTATTTCAAAGGATGTTTATTTTTATTTTTATTTTAAGGCTTAATATGTGGACTTTTCCTATTGTTAGTGTTTTAGACAAGCGCGCAAGTGTGTTGAGAATTTTTCCAGGCTAGCTTGGAGGCTTCAGACTGATAAGTAAAGTCGTGTTTTGTTTTAGTTAACTGCTTTTCTGTCTTTACACTTTTATTATATTGTAGCCTTGTGTTATTCATGTGTAAAAAAATCTGCTATGTTGGAATGGTTTGTTATATAGCTAAATGTAGGGTAAGAAAGGGTCGTGTGAAAACAGGAGGTGTTTCCTTACTACCTAACACAGAGTGTAGTAGTACCTAACAAAAAATAGTAGTGATGGTCGGATCCGGATATCGGACTACCGGATCCCAGCTAGAACCGGGACCCGATCGGATCCAAATTATCCCGTATCTTGGGCTGGATCCGGTTTTGATGGATCCGATTTTTTCCCTAACACAAAGCTGTCTGTATTCATGTAAGAGACCGATTTTCCCCCAATTTGTTTAATCTGTATGACTGTAAAACCCCGATTTTTTTACTAACACAAAGCAGTCTGTATCACTGTACAACCCCGATTTGTTTACTAACAACAAAGCTGTCTGTATCACTGTACAACCCCGATTTTTTACTAACACAAAGCTGTCTGTATCACTGTACAACCCCGATTTGTTTACTAACACAAAACTGTCTGTATCACTGTACAAACCCGACTTTTTTACTAACACAAAGCTGCCTGTATCCATGTACAAGACCGTTTTTCCAATTGGAGATTACTCTATATATAAGATATATTAACCTTTACCTATTCCCAATTTAATTTTAAACAGTATGATTTTTTAAATTGGAATTCTGTTAATTACGTTTTTTAACCCGCCCTTATGACCGTGTGTCCCTGGATCTGGATCCGAATCCGAATTTTTCAAGATCCGGATCCGGTACCGACACTTTCTTGGATCCGACAATCACTAAAAAATAGCTATAGGAAAAGTCCATCAAATTAATACACATTCAACTCCTTAAGAGGATTCCACCCGCCGGCTGTTTACGCGTAAACATGGTCCTACAAAAAAGAATCTCGTGGCATTATTACAGTGTTTATCGAGTTCGAATAAACTGTAAACTATTCACAAAGATCCAAACTATGCACTGGCTGAACTGAAACTTCAATTGTTTCTTTAAGTATTGACAAAATCATATTAAAAATTCACAAATTAGTTTTTTACATGCAATTTTAAATTCTAAATAATAGTTAACAATTATTTTTGCTCCACCTACTGCAAGCTCTGACATGTTAAGAGCACACAATCATTGGAAACAAATAAGTTTTAGAATATTAGCATGTTTAGCCGTCATCTTGAATTGACCGGATAAAACCTAAAATACACTAATTTTTACTCCAGGATAGATGTAATCAATTTACATACAATTTTAAAATTACAACCGAACAAGTGCATGTGGAGGTGTTTTACTAACTGTGATTGCTGCTGCTGATCTGAAGAGGCCGAGGACTGTGGTGGATCGGTGTCTCTGGTCGGCTGAGGCTCGGTCGTCACTTCAACACTGGGACCCTCTACAGTAACTGGAGAACATACAACAAGTTACTAACTGAACAATGGAACATTTTTCAGACAAAACATTAGGGATGGACGGGTTTGCATTTTTAATTCAAGACGGGATTTTTATTTCCTTCCCGATGCATAAAAAGAAAGTCTTGAGTACTGCAGTTACCAAAAAAGACAAACAAAATCAATTTTTACTATTTATGGCACTGATCTATAAAAACAAACAAAAAATGAGAAATTACAGCTAAATTTAAAGCGTCTAAAGGAAATTATTGGCAGGACGCACTGTGTTTATTCTGTGTTTTATATAAGCCCTAGGGTTTTTTATCTTATTTTAATGATGATATAGAAAGCAAAAAAAAATATTTAATAAAAACTCCCACGAATATTTTTGAGTAGGCCTATAACCAACATCTATCGTTCGCTCCATATGTTTGCCGATTGTTCCCGACAAACTCTACCGATCTTTCACAACTCAACCAAACACACTAGGTATTGTGTTTTAAAACAGCATTAAAAAAATGTTAGAGCTTGTTTGGAAGCCTGATAAGCGTGCTTTTGCCATACAAATGTATTAATTTCAATGATTCTTAATTGACATAAAAATACTCCGTTACAGTTGTTTGTACATGGAAATTGGACCTATAAATTTAAATTTGGGGGTTTGCATCACTGAAGCCAAACACCATTCCTAACAAAAATTATTTAAGTTAGCTTATTTTAAGTTGTGTGTTTACTTACCAGAGCCCTGACTGCCGATGACAGCCGCAATTTCTACTTGGATAGGGACACTGGTGGTGGGAACTGGATCTTCAGAACCACTTGCTGTAGATCCATTACTGTAACATAAATCCGTTGTGAGACCTGTCCGTGGACGAGTAGTCAAGTATTAAGTAATTACTCTACTTTCACTAATACTTGAGATTGTGTTGAGTAATTCTAGGGATGTCAAGTAGGTAGGCCAAGAAACGGAATTCGCTATGCCTAAGATATTCCAACATGTGATATTTGTGTTTCGCTTAACTACTCATCTAACCCTTAATCCTAAGAAAATATTGCATCAATAAAGGGATAGCAAAAGGCCGTGGTGACTATAAAATAAAACAAGATTTTAAAGAAAACCCAACCTAAAAAAAGTTTTATGTAAGATATGCCCCATATTTGGAACAAAGACAATAGTAACATTTTCTCCTCGTATCCCCCCCCCCCCCTCTCATGGCCTTCCACTCTGGAAAATCGCTCCTTTGTCGCTACACTACTAAGTATATGATAACCAACTAACCAACAATAACCTTGTGGGTGTGGACAAGAATTGTGATTAAACCAATTATAGGCACAAATATTACAACGTAGAAAGTAGCTCACCCATTTTCTGGCGACGCATTCGCAGACTCCTGGGATGGGTTTTCCAGAGCGTCCAATCTGTTGGACGCTCGTTGTAACATCTGACTGGCAACATTCAAGCGGCTCTGAGTCAGACATGAGCGTGGTTGCTGCATGGATATACCTAAACAGCACGCATAAATTTTAGCCTATGTGATAAATTAAAGTTCACTTAAACATTGCAAATTGTATGCTTAAAATATATCCGCCCAAAATAATTAATAAATTTATTTCAAGGTTAAATAAAAAGCGTTTTTGCCAAAAATTTCACAATAGAATCACATTTATTTTTCTTGACAAGCATGGATATTTATTTTTTGTTGATTTACTGTTATCTTTAGCCCTACATAATATTTAAACAACAAATTAATAAAACACACTAATATTATTAACTTACAGTGTTATTTGAAATTAAAAATTTATTTTTCAATTTTAAACTAAAATGTAGCTAACTAATGTTAAGATCCAGACATGTTAAACATTTAATTATACAGGGCTATTCAAAATTTTGGACCCAATTTGGGACTTTGTATCTCGAAAAGTATAAATTGGAAAGAACATAGCTCTTTCTAAGTTTCACACCGTTAGAAAGAGAACATTTCAAACTTTTATTTACACTGACTACAAAATGCACAATGTGTCTCCCTGTGCTGCATGGCAAACATCTAAGTGATAACCTAATTCACCCCACGCACCAGGCAGCATCTCTTGTGTCACCAATTTCATGAAATTGCCTAAACCAACGAGTTTTCATTTTTCTAGTCTTTGGGGTTGAATACCGAATTTGATGCGAAAAACCCGCTGCACTGTAATAAGAGGCTCAGTTTTTGCAAACTCTGTCACACAGAAAATCTTATGTTGCATGGTAGGCATCTTACTAACAACAGACTTAACAACAATCTGATAAACAACTGATTACAAAAAGGTCCGTAATATTACAAAATGGCTGCCAATTGTTGTGATAATTTTCACATCCATTTCCGGAACTGTGGTCAAAAAACTTTGAAATTTCCTCTCTATAATGGTGTAAAGTTTATGCCTATCCGTTTTTTTTTCTTTTTTAGATACAAAGTCATGGAATTGGGTCCATATTTTTAATAGCCCTGTATATTTTGATAACAACCAAACTTTTCAACCTGGAGTTGACATCAGTCAGAACTCAGAGTCAAAAATAAATAATTTTTTTTCAATATGCTAGTAGTCTAACACAGACCAGTAATGCTGAAAAAAGGTGATATTGTCAAACAACAGCTTTAAGAAACTGCTGTGTATAGATGTATGTAATAGTGCCCGAATATTTTTTAGAAAATCAATATTTTATGGCTTACCTGTATTACTTATGTTTAAATGCTACATAGTTAGGTGTTAAAAATTCAATTGACGATTTATGAAATGAAGCACATGGTAATAGCCTAAATGGTTATAATTGGTATTACAATATCGTAAGAAATTTTTGGTAATCAATTTATCCAACTCAATAACTACTGCTGTTTACAGTAAGGACCGTGGAATCAGACAGAACATAGACAGGACAGAGTGTTGACTGTAATGCGGCATAGATTCTTTGATACAGAAGTAAACATCCCATCTAGGTATATAGACTAAAACTTTTTTTCTTTAATATGTTTATATTGAGCCATGCTACAGCCCAATTCTTTTTTATTAATGAGATGTTACAGCTTACAATAAGTCGTCCTATTGACTTGGTTAAAAAGTTGTCATACTCAACAGAAATCACTGACTGAAATCATTTAATCGCATTCTGCCAGTGACTGAAATTTCCATTATGTTCACTTTTATTCAAAAACTGCTAACAACTTTAATATACAGGGATAAGCTATGATAATCAAATGTAGGCAACTACAATTAGCTGTTTATGTAATTTGTTTGACTTACCAGTAGCATCCATGAACTCTGCAGGAAAAGCCATGGCCCCCACATACATGGCCGGGTTGCCTCTCGGAGGAGCAAACAGCGTGCGCCACTGCTGTGAGCGCCGGCCTCCTGCGCCGTTGCCAGCCTGTGTGGTGGGACCTTGATCAGGACCACTACCATTGCTGGAAGGTGGAGCTCGCTGCACCAGATGGATCACCTTTCCGTTCACGTCTGTGAATTGTAAAACAATAATTTTAATTATATACCATACTAAGTTTTCGGATTTTACTATAGTGTCATTTTACATGGAACAATCACATACACTTTTAAGGGAAAGTGGACCTAATCTAATGATGTAGTAGCCTCTGGGTCACTAAATTTAAGCAAAATGGTTTAAGTTACCTGTCTTTGGCAAGTGATCCTTGTTTTTAATACAGTACACTACTATATAGTTTCCATCCAAGTGTCCTCATCAGATGACCAGATGTTTTTGTCACCTGATAATGGACTTTAAAGATGTCCGAAACTATATACAGTAGAACCTTGATAACAAGACTCTCATGAGGATTGTAAAAGAAGACTTGTTATCATAAGGTTGACTTCTTATCGAGGTTTGTAATAACATGTGATTAGGGGTAAAATAATTTTGAGGGGATTTTAAAATGACACTTGTTATCAAGGGTGACTTGTTATCGAGGGTCTTCTGATCAAGGTTCCACTGTAGTAGTGTAGGCTAATAATAAAAATAAGGATCATTTGACGATGCCAGGTAACTTAAACTATTCTGTTCCCATCTCTTTCAAACTGTTTTAAGTACAGTATTCTTGTACCAAGAGTCCAAGAGATTATAGCTAGGCTACTTAGTTAGCAACACACCCTATTCATGTGACCATTGGTTCTGTCACATCTTTCAGTAGCCTACTGTTCATTCTTGCATTGTACCAATTACCCTTTGTTAGATGACTTGATAGATTCTCCACGCACATGTCCGAAACCCATGAGCATAGGGAAATGCAAGGTAAAAGAGCTGTCAAACTTAAAATTAAAACCTAAAAAACGTGTAAGCTTAGATAAAGCCTTAACGTATACTTTAAGAGAAATAGTAATCCTTAGGCCTATGTAGAGATTAAAAATCCTATAGTTAGTAATAGTCAAAGACTACAGTAACCATATTCGCTGAGGTTTTTATCATCTTGTAAAACTCTTCCGCAGTAAATTAGACGTTGAGATTCCGCTGGAATGTTCACAGAGTCAGCAATCCGTTCTTTGAGTTGTTTCACTGTTAACTGCAATATCAACAAACAAGAGCAAGATTAGTCATCATTTCCACATCAATAAAATACCCCTTACCCAGCAAACCTGCAGACTGAGCGAATTTCAAAAACCTTTTGGATTTCAAATTTCACTAAAATATTTCAGTATTTGCAGCCTATGTAAGTTAAAATTTGTAACTGCAAACCTGTGCAATTAAAAAATTTTAAATTTAAGGTAGGCCTATGTGGGTCAAAATAGAGCTGTACGTTGGAATGTAAAATAGATGAATAAGTAAAGATACTTGCACTGCACCACACGTTTTTTAAGTATAAAACTAAAATGTAATAGGTAGGTCTACTGTGTTTAAGGTTAGTTTATGACATTGAGCCTACATCAATCGCACGTCAAGGGATTAGTTTAAGGTAGGATAAAAAACAACTTCACTGGTTAACTTGTTATTTTAAGCTGATTTTCATCTACAAGCCACTCTAGGGTAGAATAATAATTATGCTCAAAGATTAGGATAATCACAATTCAGCTCAGAAGTAACAAGTCCTACAAAACATTTGAGTAACTTAGCCTATAAACAAAACTCTACACAGGTCATAAAAATACCACAATCCAGGAAATCTCAGTAGATAGGCTAAAGTTATGCCCTAGATCAGGAATTTTTTGTGTCTGATTGTCTAACATGCGATAGCGATTACCCGAGATTATCTCATGCGACTGTAGCATCTACAACCCTGTTTAATGATAGGCTACTCTCCCACTATCACGGCAACATTGATATCATTTTCCACGGTTGGCATTTTCTTACTTTAGGCAACATTACAAAAGGCTTTAAAGAATGATAATATTGTTTAGTACACTCGATAAATTCATTTCAATAAAAGCTCACCAAAACGCTTATGATATTTTCAACCTACCTAATATTATTAGCCTATAACGTCGCCTAACAAAATCTATAAGCAGTTTTTTGTTAATTTTTTTGTCGAACACCTAGGCCTATAAATTATAAGGATCTCCATGAGATAGGTAGGTTACTTGAATATAATAAGGATTATAAAAGGCTATACTTACATCGTCAGGAACTGAGAAGGCGTGGTTCTTGGAATCAAGTGTTTTTACGGTCAACTCAATCATCTTTCACCCTGAAAAATATTTTTTTTTTATTTATAAGTTAGCTTATGTAAGGTTTTGAAAACTTTTGTAAAGCAATTTACCTACCTTAATTTCCTTTTAATCAGTTGGTTAATTCGCTTAATAAACTCCTATAGAATAATAAATTAGTAACTTAGGCATAATTATTTATGAATCTTCATATCTAAAAAGCATGTATATATTAGGCTAAATTTTATCTGTTACCTCTTGTACTGAATTTGAATTTCAAGTGCAAATCTCCAAGCAAAACCGCAACCGTCAGCTGACCACAACCGTCCAATCACACCGCAGAAATAGGCCTGTGATTCGTCGGCGGAGTCGAAGTGTAAGCAAGAAGCCAGGCCCTGTTCTCACTCTCTCTGTGTCTGTGCAAGTCGACTTGTGGGATCGCTTTTGTTATGCATCACGTATAAAAATTACAATTTGCGGTGCAAGCTGGGGCAAATTTTAATTTTATCGATACACTATAATTTATATCCTGAAAGGATAAAATATGTAGTCTAATTGCATTGTGGTCAACAATTGAAAAAGAAATCCAATCACGAACATTTATTCCAGCTAGCACAAGCCGCTGTTTTAAACTTTTACTGCATATCGCTGCAAATTTAAATCTTCCAAATCGTCATAGCACAAGTCTCCCCTGATTTAAGTGTAATATAGTGCTGTAAATGTACGGGAAAAATTCTAAGTAGGCTTGTTTAGGCCTAATTGTTTTGTTAAGTTTAGTTTAAGTTTTGTGATTTAGCTAGTGACTCGTGCAGGATTATTTTTGTCGATTCCTGTTTCACAGCACGTGGTAACATTTGTAACTAACTTACCTGCTATTTGTACCTCAAAACCTGTTAACAATCAACACGTCATATTTGCATAGAGTCGTTTAAGTACAGTAGGCCTATGGTATATGAAAGATTGAAACTAAATTTTATTTTACGCATGTAGGCCTACTATTCTCCTACGAATGTAAATAAAGAACATTGTCTATAGTCTATAGCAGTTGTAATTAAATCTGTTGTAATTAGCCTCATACCGTACATTTTAAAATTATGGATTTAATTGTTTAAAAACAACACTAAGTTATCGCCTTCCAAAATAAAGTAGAAAATAATTAAATATGTCGCTGTAACTGAATTGATTTGTATTAAGGTAGGGGGTGTTAACTTGGTTCGTTTGATTAGCTAATAGTAGGTGCCAAGACAAGTGTGAATGGGACAACTAGGCACAACCCCCATTAATTACATATAACTTCAGTTAATCTTCCTTATTAAAAAGCTGTATCCAGGATTATGTTTCCTAAAACAAGATAACTAACACAGCCAACGAGATCTGCTCTTCGGCCATAACTTATTGAGTACTGGCAAGTTATAAGTGGGCTAAGTTACAACAGGATTCGCAGCGCTGAATAGCCCAGAGTCTCAATTAAATTGAGTGTAATTGTAGATAATTGAAGTAAATTGTATGTATTTCATGAGGGAACAACATAAGTTAGGCTAATTGCAATCAAGGTACGATAAAATCATTTACAAAGTTATTCCATATGTGTTAAGCTTTAAACACATAAGTTCTAACGTAGGCCTACTAGGGTGAAAGCTCCTTAGCTTTTAGCTAGAGGTACTATCATGGGTCTGCAATAGCCTTGAAGAGAAGAAAAGCTTCACTCTTGTTTTGAGGTCACATTGCTCTGTGGCAACATTATAATCAAATAGGGCTAGCCTTATCAGCAACTTAGGCCTAACTTATAAAATATGTGTAGGGGTAAGTTATTTGGAGTTTGAATTGCCTAGACTAACTTATATCACGCTATTTAGTGTGTGAAAAAGTGATTAAAACCTATTTCCCCCAACTAACTTATGCCAATTGTCAATGCGTATGCAAGCCAATTAGGCCTAAGTTTAGGTCTCATATAAACTTAAGCGCATACCGACTAAGTTTAGCCTACTTAATTGTTGACTCAACTGAAAATAATTTGTATGACTTACCTTTATCAAAACACAGATGCTAAGTAGTACTGACAATTTGTAAAGTTCTTCTAAATTGGTAACCACCGAGAGGTTTCTTCTGCAGTTCCCAACCCAAGTGTCAAACCACCACTGTCATCGACATCATCAGCACTTAAATAACTATGACACAGCTTTGTAGAAACCCCATTAAAATACAAAGCAAAGTAATAATAATCTACAAACTCAATTGTAGAGACATTTTAACTTTATAATGCATGAAAATTAGTTTACTGTAATACAAAATGTTAGACGTGTGTATAATTAAAGAACCACAACCCTGTAAAGGAGTGAGAGAGAGAGAAAGACAAGGAGAGGAGATTTTATTTGGGATTGGGAAATGCAATTGGAAATTAAAACGAGGTTCGGATCGGATTGAAATGAAATTAGGACTAAGAGGATTGAGGAGGATTGAGAGTGAGACCTCGGTCTCGGAACAACATGTTTTATCTATGGAACAAACTAACAAAATTTAAGGTGACTTTGCTGCACAAGTTGTGTCCATTTTTGGAGAGAGATTTTTCCGTAATAACTCTACGTATTTTTCTAGTATTCGTGAACTCGGAGTTATTAAAGATCTATGGTTGTGTCGACGGGAACGGGGACTAAAGGCATAGATAAAACATATGCTATAGGTGATGTGGAAAGCGAATAGGGACCTCTTGTCGGGTATTTTCGATTTTGAGTTATGTATATATTTGAATTCCTTATTAAACTCCGAATCACTTGGTGCAAGTCTCATGCATTTACGCTTTTTGAAAAGGGTCATTTTTAGAAAACCCATTTTGAAAATTTCTAATACCGGTACGCATAAAAACAGTTTTTTTCGTATATAAGAAACGCGCGATTTTTGTATCAAAAGAAAGCTTATAATGTCCTCTTTGGAGGCAAAACAAATGTTCGTCTTAACTCCCGGTAGTTTTCATTTAAATAATTGTTTTATTTAAGCATGTCGTAAAAATCACATTTCAGAAAAGGGACCTCTTGTCGGCCCTATGTTATTTCTCCATAAGATAAGAAAAGGTACCTCTTGTCGGGACTGTAAAATTTGTGAGTTCTCCGTACACTGAACTTTGTTGTAGTTCTCATTGTTCCTGTGGCCGGCTTACCGTACCTTGTATAAATAAATGTGCCAATTTATGTGTCGACATGTTTTGGCAATATTCCAATCTTAAGAAGTCTTTCAGTTTCTGCTTTCACAGAATCCCTTTCTCCACTTAAATTCAACTTCAATGTTAATGGAACTACCCTGGATAGGCCCTTGACAATTAAGGAACCTTGGAGTTGTATGGATGCCATCCCTCAGTGCTGAAGCACATGTAAGCATAGGATTTGCCTACAGGCTAACCGTGCGTTGGGACTCCTGGTACGCTCATCGAGACATCTTTCCCAACTTCAGACACTTAGAACCCTATACTGCTGCAATGTAAGGCCTTTGCTGGAATACTCATCTGTAGTCTGGGCACCCCATCAGTCTACCCTTTGGTGATAGCCTCCAGAAGATCCAGAATAGATTTCTACGATTGGCTGGACTCAGACTTGGATTTGCCTTCCTTCATGGAAGTTCCCTTGGATGTTTTGGCTGCTCAGATTAACCTACCAACTTTGTTGTCCAGATGTGAAACTCAGGATGTATTGTTCCTTTTCAAGATTTTAAATGGACTGGTGGATTAGTGAACTGCTCAGTAGGATAAACTTCCACGTACCTACCAAAAGTAAATAGATCCAGGGACCTCTTTAGTAGACAGCACTCCAGTACAAACTATGCGCAAAACTCGCACTATGGTCCGCATCCAAAAGACTAGGGAATGTTGCACCACTAGTTGACTTCTTCAATTCTAGTCATAAGTCTTTCAAAGTCACTGTAAATGAGCTGTTGTGGAAATGCTAGTTACTGGTGACATGTATTTAGTTATTTATAATGTCAGTTGCTTTCTCAATGTTTTTCTCTTTTGTTTTGTTCAACACTATTGCATGTATCACTATGGCTGTGTTATTAATGTCATTGTTGTAAATTCTCAATTATTTTGTCTGTCTTGTTATATGTATTGCAATCATTACTTTGTTAAATTTTCATATTGTAGCCATTAAGCAAATGTCTATCTTTTGTGTAGTTAAGCATGTACTATAACACTATACATACATTTATTATTATCTATTGTAAAAATATGTCATGATGTTAACGTACCATACCAATGTTAGCCATTAAATTTTTCATATGTTTTGTTTTATTAGAATTTTTAGCATATTATAGCATATTATTGTAAATGGTTGTTACCGTCAAATAAATAAATTCCCATATAGGGAATAAGCTATTTCCATAGGAATCTCCAATAACAACATGCAAACTAGAAACAAACATGGAAAAGATTGTTTCCAGACTCAGGATTAATGAAATAATGGGCTATGAATTAATTAATGACTAGATAACCTGTTGCTTGAAATCGAGCAAAACTACAACTTTTAGTAACATAATAAGAACAAAATATATAAACAGCAAAATCTCAATCATATAGTCACACTAAAGTGATTATGACTGATTATAGACATGTGAAAAATATTATGTAAAAAAATAAAAAAGTAATCTACGGTACAATATTTAAATAGATCCGTTCTCACCCTGCTTTAGTTATCTCTTATGTACTGTAGGCTGGTGCCCTCTATGAGAAGGTAGAAGAAAACCTCACACTGTAAAGTGAGAAAATTGTTTAAAAAATAATGCTGACCGGTTGTTGATGGACTTTCCCCTTACCACTGCAGAAATATTGCACTAATACAACAACTTACTCTAAGTCGTATGTTTAGGGTAAACTTGTATAAATATTTCAAACCAAATTGTCGTCAAGTCTTAAAAAGCTAGCCAATCAACAGTTACTAAGTTACTCGTTATCATTGTCATATCTTTCATTAAAATTTGATCAACTGAATTTATTATGACTACCAGTATTTAGTTTTGTAAACTTACGTTTTAAATTTGCTTGTATAAAAGGTTGTATTCTTTAATATTATGTAGAAGTCAGTTTCTGTATCTTGGAAAGTATGAATAAAATTGCAAGCGTTTAGTTTTTAGTAAAATTGTGTACTGTACTAGAAATAATACATATAAAGTATGTCTCAATAACAATTAATTACAAACTTCTTTTGGTACGTTATTTGCAACAACTACAATATTCTATATTATAAGTAACTAATAGACTAATAATTTATTCAAGTTTAGTAACTTACCTATTCCTTCCGTATTCAACAGTTGGTATTAGTCAAGGCAAAAAATAAACATACCATCTTGTTATCTGTTCCTGTTGTCCTTATCCTGGACACATGATAATAAGCTTGTCAGAGCTTGCCAATAGGAAGAAGAAGGAAATGGAAAGGAATTGCTTCAATTGCTTGGTCAAACTGTAGACAAGTTGTGACAAGAGAGAGCATTGTGTAGCATGTTAAGTTTTTAGGATATTAAAACATGGTAAGTGTAAGGTTATTTAACATATTACTTTACATCTGTTGTTAAAGAAAGTATGTATATTAAATACCCCCCAGCAAACCTGCCGACTAAGCGAATTTTCATTCATCTGAATTGATTTTCAATAAAATTTATTTAAATAAAATTGGGTTTAACTAGTACGGTCCTTAGGTTTGCTGCTACAAAGAAACTAATTAATAATAAAAGTGTGATTTTAGTAAATTATTAATAGTTTAGTATAAAATAAATAAATTTGCAAAGTTTGATCAGATTATATCTATAAACAAGCAAACTACAACATTTTACAATATTCTCCATAAGAATAACATGAGAATTTTAATTTTTTTTTCATTTTCTGGTAACCGTACAAAAAACACTTTGATATATTAAATTATATTTGTTTTTTGTAAGCTCTTTAAAGAGGTCTAAAGAGAAATTTGGAAATTTTATGTTTTGATGGTCAAAAATTAGAGAACCCAATTTTCATCATAAAACCCCCTTCTCTTGGACCGATGATGCCGGTTTGCGAACTTGTTAGAATAAACGTTGATTTACATGTTTGTAACAAATTTTGACGAAATAAGTCTAATGGACATAAAAAAAATATATATGAATTTCAATGGAAGGTGTTTTTGGCCTCTATGGGGACATCAAAACAAAAAGTATAGGTAATGGGTCCAGGTCTTACCATGAGGGGATATAGAATTGCTTCCCCTGAAACCGCCTAATTTTTTTCATTGGAATTTTAACAATGAGCTCTTGCTACGGTCTACTACGGACTGGGACTATTCCAACATATTACATTCATATAGTTCTATATTTATTTATTGTGAAAATAACTTGATTTGGGTAAAGTTAATCTGAAATAAACCAAACAGAATAGTAAAAATAATGGGAACTCCTGATTCATGATTAAAATGAAGTAATAAATTAAAAGAATAAAATATAGCCTAAATATGCATAGCTGATTTATCTGTCACATAATGTATGGCACATGGAAAATTCCCTTTGAAAGGGATTGGGACCTTACATGGCAATTTATAAAAATATTAACAGTTTTCTGCTAGGTTTCTTGTCAAGACAAATATTTTTAGAAGTAGGTGTATGGAGGTGTGTAGTCCTCTAAAAATCCATAAATACTTTTGGATTGATATACAGATTTGTTACAATAACAAACACATATATATTCTCCAATAAGTTCTGCCCTTAAGCAACTGCTCTACTAACGGTGTGTTTAGATTTTATTACACACAAACATTAGTTTGTTGAGCTTTGTTTTTTATGTCGAAGGTCGTAACTAGTATTTTCTGAATGACTATGTTCCAGGATGATGAAGAAGTACAAGTGTATATGGATCGGGTAGAGAGCATCGCTCAATGCCCAGTGTGCCTGGAGTTGGTCAGGTCACCAGTTGTGTTGTGTGTCAACGGACACGCAACTTGTGGCCAGTGTAGGAACAATGCTGCCAAGTGCCATGTGTGTTGCCGACCGTTCAGTGACGTCCCTCCCAGGGTCTTGGAGGAGCTGCTGTCAGTGTTGCCACAGCTCTGTCCTAATGGAATGTGTCGGGCTTTTACCATCTTGGATATGCACTCCAAGTACTGTGTTTACAGACAGATAAAGTGTAGAGTTACCAACTGTCAATGGTCTGGAGCCGTCATCGAGTGGTTTGAACACATCAACAACCATAGCTTTTACTTTGCTAAATATCAGCTAAAAGTCACTACATGCTTGGTAATCAACAGATTCCTAGACGATTGGAAATCTGAGTATTACAATCAGCTAGTTGGAAAACAATATTTAATTTTTAAACTTTGGAAGAAAGGAAACAAACTTTATCATAGCTTTAGACATGTTAAGTGTGAGAAATCTAGTGTTGAGTACTACGTGATAGTAAAGTACAAGTGTGGTCAGCAAACTCTGTTTAAATCTATGATCGAAGTCTTGCCATATGAGGATGATGAGTCCATGGAGACTAATGCAGCTGTTTTCAATATCGAAAAATTGAAGAAACTTGTTGATGAAAGTGGCCAATTGTCAGTCTTTGTCACTGTAGACACTTTTCCCTCTTAGGGAAGGTGAAATAACTGTGTGAAACTTTTGTTGCATTTTTTAGCATAGATTAAGTCGATGCATGTTTTTGTTTTAAAATTTTATGAGAATGCATAACTATATAAATAAAATTAGAGTTTTGTCTGTATATTGCTCAGAATTATATATATTTAGGTTATTTTTACGTTTTAAATAATCCGAAACAAGTCTTATCTCAATTTCTGTCTGTCTGTCACGGCTCAGAAGGCATTTTACGCAAAAAATGAGAGTATCTATCAATTTTCAAATCATTTTAATGTGTCCACTGGATTGGCGAGAGTGTCTTTATCCATTAAAATATGGCCTCACTACTTATTTAAAAAATTATGGACGTTCAAAAACCCCAATTTTGTGCAATTTTTGTCAAGTGTTCTAATGTTTATCATATACGTCATCTAAGAAATAACGAACAGCTGCTGGATCAAGATTATTTTTTCTAGATGTCACTGATATGTTTAAAAATACCGCAACCATTCCCGATCACGTTTTGAAAGCAAATCCAAATCAAGTGAGATTAAAACGTTTTTCCCTACATAACGGATTTAATTAATCGAAAGTGCAATTATGTGTAACCTTAAATAAAAATTAAATAACTCGGGATCATCCATGTCAGGAACTGGAGATTCTTTGTTGATCAAATTGTTCTTGAGTTTTGATAACCGGGAAAAAGACCTTGAATCAGTGTTGTATAGGGCTGGGAAACTGACATATTTTAAATAATCACCGCCAATAGCTTACAAACAAGGTTTCCAGTTTCCACTCATTGACGACGCTCTAATGGCAGTTGTGTAAAGTGTAAAGTAAAAAATCACAACTGCAGTGGGAAAATTGAAAAAAATCCCAACAATCAATTAACTTGTTCCCCCCTTAATTTTTTAACATATTTGAAATCGGTTTGCAGCAACCTTTTTAGATATAAGGGGCTACAATAATTAGGGTCAATTTTGAAAATTATGCCTAAGTGCTAGGGCGGGGTGGGAGGTAGCTCAAAATTTTCAAATGGTAAGTATAGTTGAGTTTTTTATTATTTTACAGGACTTAGCAAAACTAAACAATTAACATAAAGAAAATAGAAATGGGACCACTAATAACAAAATGGCGGGTAAAAATGACTAAAACAATGGTTATTAAAAGTATAATGTTTAAATGTCATTTTGTTATTAGTATTCCGATTTCTATTTTCTTTATGTTAATTGTTTAATTTTGTTAAGACCTGTAAAATGATGCCAAACTTGACCATACACCCTAATTGAAAATTTTGAGCTATACCCCACCCACCCCCACTACCCCTAATGGCAAAATTTTTGCGAATTTCCCATATAGGGAATAAGCTATAACCGTATGTCACGGTAAGACCTAGACCCAGGACCGATTTACTTTTTCATTTTGAGGTCCCCAGAGGCCAAAAACACCATCCGTTGAAATTCATATATGTACAGTAGACTCCCTCTTATCCGGACACCTTTTAACCGGACATCGGTTTAACCGGACTACACCCGGCGGAAATTACATCTTTTTAACCGGACAATTTTTATCAGCACATCGGTTTAACCGAACTAGAACTTAATTAGGCTTGGTACCCTGGTACTACTAACTTTTTTTTATAATATATGCTTTACACAACGGACACATGAGTTTGAACAGATGGCGTTTATGACCTCTTGGGTCAGAACAACAAAAATAATTGGTATCAGATATCTGACACATACTTTCTCCCATTGGCTTGTCAACCACCTTTATCATGGGTAAACGGTGGGAGTATCTGTAATGTTTAATGGGGAAAATCACATAAATTTACAATAAAATTTGAACAATAACTTTTACAGCAATGGGGGTTGTACCGTTTTGTGAAACGTTAAAAGGAGAGGAATATAACATATATTGTCGGGACCACATAAGTTTGCAGTTGGTGGCAGCCAATCACAAGACGAGGCTAGTGCGACGTTGCCACATCACCCATTGACAACACTAATAAAAATATACAAAGCTATATTTTTAAATCAGCTGGTACTGTTAGATTTGGCAACACCACACCGTTCTCATTGGTTCATTTGAAAACCATATGGTAAATAGGCTCCTCCCTCAACAACTGCAAACTTATGTGGTCCCGACAATAGTAATCAAAATCGTTTAAGCCATTTTGGAGAAAAATTATATTTTTCCCGTAATTTTATGCGACAAACACAAAAAAAATCAAAATTCTAAAAAAATGAAAAACACCTGGGGGTTAGTACCCATACCAAATGTAATCAAAATCGGACAACAGGTGTAGTCTGTAGCTCTGTACACATACAAACACAGACACGACAGAAATCAGTATGAAAACCACTTTTTTGCATTGAGGGGAAAAAATGGATATATCCATCCAAAACTCAAACATTTTGACAAAAACAATACTTTTTCTATACACTTATATAACTATGAAAGCATTCTGATAGAGGGGATTCAAGTTCAATAATTGCTAACTTGGCTCATGACCTTTGTGGCATTGCAACCAGTAGGATTACTCCATACAATCCCAAACAAAATGGACAAGTTGAACGCTATAATACTTAAACTACAAAACTACTAAATACGGTACACAAAACTGTAAATAAATAAAACATAGTATATTAAATGCATCTTATTTTTGATTTATGTACAAAACCCAGTATAAATGGATTGAATTAGTAAAAAAGTAATCAGTTTAGTTGTCCTTATGGTTTTGCTGTAGCTGTGTTACTTTTTTGCTCTCTGAAGACCTTAAAGCCCTGCTCCAGATGAGCATAAGTGAGGCCACCACTCAGGTTGACCCACACTCCCGTAACATTTATTGCCTTCATATCGTCCAAGTCCAATTTGTTTGTATCGTAGTAAAGAATATTCTCGAGAGGTACTTTGGCTCGTTCACTTAATCTGAAATCACATTATTTATCATACAAGTGTTAGAACAGAAACTGTATGGATCATAAACATAAACAAATTATATCACTGGCTTGAAAGTAAACGTTATCAATGGAACTGTAAAACCATATGTTATTCTTATTAGTATATGGTCCGAGCCAGTTATGAAATTTGGGTACTTTCCTGTTAAAGGGAACATTCATTATTATCGATGATTTTTTCTCGATATCTATATATAAAGCCAAAAGTACCCATGAACTTTTGAGAAAACTACAAGTTACACCTCCATAAACCATATACTTAAAATGTTCGTCATGACGAGAAACCTTGCGCAAAACCATCCATTATTTCATAAATTTCCCTTGAAGGTCGTAATTCCTTTCTAAAGGGAACTTTCCATATAAATAATGTTAAAATTACCTCATCTGTACTTATTTGTTTGTTATTCTTTAAATTTATTGTCTTATTAAAATCAGGTACGATTATTTGTTTGCTTTACTGTATTTTGTTTATTTAAGGTTAACTTAACCAATCAATAGTTTTATGAAGTTTAACGGGGAGAAGCCCGTGGGTAACAGCTAGTATCGATATTAACAAATTGAAACATATCAGCTGACAACTACGATAAATATTGTTCAGTATCAACAAACAATAATGAAATGAAACTGTTCTAAAAAAAATTAACCTAACATAACTAACCAAACTTGCTATAACATTTAAAAATTCCGTGTTTAACTTGTCTTTTCTATTATCAAACCCAAACGGGATTTTTAAATGGTCCAGCAAGTTTGGTTGGTTATTTTAGGTTAACTTAGACTATTTTAGCCTAAACTAGATCAGTTAGTTGTTGTCAATTTGTAATGGATCGGGAAATAAAAATATCGATATATCGAAAAAATCATCGATGATAATGAATGTTCCCTTTAACAGGAAAGTATTGAAATTTGTTTATGATCCATTACGTTTCTGTTCTGTGATTTATCATATTGATAGTTAACACTCCAACCAAATAACATTTTCTGTTTTGGTTATCTACCTATAAACGCTCAGGATTAAAGCTAAAAGTCAGGGCTTGTTGGTATAGAAATTGAATACTACAACATAAAAAGAAATTAATTATCTCCAATCTTTTAAAAAAACCCTAAAAAATTAGAGATGGATATAAAAATAATTTCATAAAATATCAGATTGACTTGTTATGAAAAATTACCTTGACATATGGTATTGAAATAGTTTTGGAATTACTACTGTATGAGAATAACATGGACGGGTTGGAGTGCAGCTATTGAAACTCCAAGGATTTTAAAAGTGAGAACTACATTTTTAATTTAAAAACAAACAAGAATGTACAGTAACAACAAATTTTTAACTCATCATTCCTTTTTAAGTATTTGGTTACGATACAGCCAAATAATATTATCAATGTGATTACGATCTTTATATTAGGCAATGTGATTCATCTGAAGTCTCGTAACCTCTAACAAATGTCTACCTAAAAAAGTGTCTAAAATTTTTACATACCTCAACATTTGCTCAGTCTTGTTCCCAGGTTTCGTCTCAAAGCCGTTGAAGAACTTGTCGATGTCAAAGAGGTCTGTGGTTTCTTCTACCCGCCGGATGTCAGAGTCAGCGCTCAAGCCACCGATCTTGTACCACTTTTGGTCCAACTCCTCTAGAATGTCATACACATCCGGGTACATGTTGAAAAGTCTTCCCACTTTGTCTTTTATCTGGTGTTTCACGCTGAAACATTTTGTGGAATAATAAGACATAATAATTATTATCATTATCATTTAACATGGGGACGCCACCTAGGTGCATATTTTAACCCAAATATGAGTAAAGGATGAGTGTAGAATGAGGTTTGTTGCCTTGTGTAGCTTTGTTACTGACTAGGACCACCTGTTTCATTAATCAGGACCATTATTTATTTAAAAACCAATGATCATAAGGACAGCTGGGTCCAGTAGGTCTACTGCTCACTTACACTTTATTGGAGTGAGACATTATTTGATATTTTGCTCTATTGTGGATTTAGGAAGATATGAATCCTCTACGCAATATGGTTAGTCTATGGCAATATGTAAAAAATCTGTTTCAATACCTAACTAGAATAAATAAAATATTTTCCAGCTTCTTTTATTGCTGAAACAATTTTAAAGGACCATCCATTCAACAAAAAAGATGTTTCCTAGGCACAAAACACACGGGATTAATCTTTTTAGTGTATCCTTAAGTGTTTTTGTCAGTAAACTACAAAAATATCACCTATGCTTTTTTGGACAAAATTTTGTTTTAAATTAACATTTCTTGTTAGAAAGGTTGTTTTGTTTCCTTGTTTTTGTTGTTGTTTTTTCCTTGTTGGGATTGATTAGATGAGATTGATCCTACTGTATAATCCACTGGCGGAATTCAGATGAGAGGGGACAAGGAGAGGGTAGCGCCTCCCTCCTAAATAATTTTGAAAAAGGACTCTAAACTTATTTAAATGAGGAGAGTGAGTAATTTAAAAATACTTTAAATCCGTACTTCCAAGCAAAACTGGAATTTGATCATGCTCAACTTGACTACTGTAATGCAAATTCAATCTACAATTGAATAATACAAATATTTGCTTGAAAAATAATGTTTAAATTGCATGAATAAAAGTCATGGTAAGCTACTTGAGAATAATAAAGGACACAAACAAAATAATCTAAGTCCATGAAAATCTTTGTCCATGACTGTTTCATTCAGTCAAATATTCAAGCAATGTTCAAACAATTAATTATTCCGCTCACAAATTTTTACGGTTTTAGGTGAAGACCTGCAGTCCCCTTCACTTTTGATCCTACTTTAAAAAAAAGCTCAAAATAGATGAGGTTTGTCAAAAGGTTAATCAGCTGCAAACATTAAGCAGAAAAGGAGGGGGACAACTTCCCCTCAAACCGCCTAAATTTTGTGAATGGACTATAATTGTGGTGAACAAACTGAACTTATGTGTCGTATAGGGACTTACCCAGTACGATTTAGAGGGTGCTGCATTATTTCCATTGTAAAAGGCCATAGTGTATGATCTGAAAAATGGAATTATATCATTAAAAAACATGACTTTTAAAATATAAATTCTATGTAAACATATAGAAAAATGTTCCGATCCTAACCCTGTTCAGAAACATTAGCAAACCAAAGAAGAGCATTCAATGTTCGGTATATATTGGTCTTTCAATAAAAATGGTCCTGTTTAGTGACTAATGAAACAGCTGGTCTCAGTCAGCAACAAAGCTACACAGCTATATCATCACATTCCAATTAATAAGCACAGGGGGCATCCCCATCTCAAATAGTGATGTGTTGATACCAAAATTTATTGATGGTGATACCTGAAAAAAATTTATTCCCGATACCTAATTGCTAAAAAAATCAATTCTCAATAGGTACATAAAAACAATTTTTTTATAAAAACAATTTTTTAAATAGTTTTACCAAATATTCTGAATAGATTGATTATACTACCCCAACACCTGTTTTTATGATCCTTCTATAAAGTATTTTTGAGGTAATGGGGTGTTTTTCAAGTAGGCCTCCTATCTAAAGAAAAAATTACGCAATACCTAATTAAAAATTCTAACTAGCCAATTATTAAGTTTAAGTCTAAACACATTATATAACCACCATATTAAGAAAAATGAAAATCTAACTACAAATACCCCCGCCGCAGCAAACCTGCAGACTAAGGCCAGGCGCACACAGGCGATTTTGAGTCGAGCAACAGTTGCCCGACTAATTCGGGGACTGTTGCGCAACCCACTCGGAGACCCTGAAGTCTAGCGACAGTTGAGCTGGAGTGCGCACACAGGCAACTTTTTAGTCGTGAATCTAGTCTTGAGACGTCTTGGACATACATTCGTTACAGCGTTCCGAACGGATTTCAATGATACAGCCGTAGTATGTGCTTTGTTGTTGAAGTTTCGCGTGCGAAAGAAAAAGAGAAGATACTGGGTTCATCGTTGATCCCATATAATCCCATATTAAGGCGGCCTCTTCTCAATTTCATCAATTAATTGATCGACATCCTCATCACGCACACTCATACTTGTAATTTTCTAAAAACTTCACACAACAAGAGAGCAACTATTTTTGAAATACATGTTTTAGGCGAGGTTTATTATACTGTATTGATCAGCTTGTGGGCTTCACTCACCTTAATTTGTTAATCCAGGACTCGTCAAAATGTAACACAACGAAGACACACAACACACACATACACGCACATAAAAAATCGTCCTTGGATTTACTCCGACGTTTCCAGTCGTGGTTAGGCGTTCAGCTCGTGTTCGTGAGAAAAATAAAGTTTTAATTCCCTGAGGAAGCGGGACGTTATCTTTGGTCCCGCAAAACGTCGGAGTAAATCCAAGGACGATTTTTTATGTGCGTGTATGTGTGTGTTACATTTTGACGAGTCCTGGATTAACAAATTAAGGTGAGTGAAGCCCACAAGCTGATCAATACAGTACAAGAGAGCAACTAGTGACAGTTCTGGCCACGACTAGTTGAAGTCCTGGGGTGAGACTGAGCGACACAGCGACAATTTAGTTGCATATGTGCGCATCTACACTTGTTTAAATGGATACCAAACCTGGAGCGACAGTCCCGCAACAATTCAGTCGCAGAGCAGTTGCTGGCGAATTGGGTCCGGGAACATCGGTTGCAACAGTTGCGCGACTGTTTCCTTTGTGTGCGCACTCCAATTTAAAACAATGTTGAACATTTTAGTCAGGCAACTGTTGCGCGACTCAAAATCGCCTGTGTGCGCCTGGCCTAAGGGAATTTCCATTTTCCTGGCTGAATTTCTACTAAAATATTCCCTTAAAATTGCCAGATTTATTTCCTATTTAAATAATATTAATTTTAATGAGTAATTATGTTTGCTGTGTTTTTTATGTGTTTTTTTTTTCATTGAAATGTTGATGGCTTAGTATGAAATGAACAAAATTGACAAATTTGATTGAAATATATCCATAAACAAGCTAACTACAACAGTTTATTCTCCTTAATTATCTTCGTAACCGTTAGGAATACAACAACACTTCAATATACTAAATAATTTCTTCTTTAAGCTCTACAAAATGGTTTGGAAAGAAATTGTGAAATTTTTCTGTATTTAGGGTCAAAATTGGGAAAACCAATTTTTCCCCTATTGGTTTCTGGGGGGGGGGTGGTTATGGGCTAAAAATTGGTTTTTCTCTATTTAGACCCTCAAAACAAAAAAAAATCTCAATTTCTCTCTTGACCATTTAAAAAAACAAATAATTTTTTAATGTATCTAAGTGTTTTTGTACGGTTATTGGTTACAGAGAAATTTCAAATTAGTTATGTAAATATAAAATTCCCATGTTATTCTTATGAACAATACTGAAAAAAATTTAGTTTGCTTGTTTATATTTTATATTTCTTTATATTCTTAGCTTGAATATATATTTCAATTAAACTTGGCAAATTTATTTATTTGATACTAAAGCTATCAATATTTTACTAAAAAATCCACTTTATTAGCCACACAGTGCATCAAACCCAGGTGCTCGCTTAACCTAAATGTTATTTAAATAGATTTAATTGAAAAATCAATTCGGGCAAATGGAAATTTGCTTAGTCGACAGGTTTGCTGCGGTGGGGGTATTGTCATTATTAAGTATTTTCTCTAGTACAATCCAGAAAAAATTACATGTTGAATTAAATTATTAACAATCAAAAACATGTGATTGGTATTGTAAAGTAACAAAACATTCTTATTTAGTTTTGTGGCTTAATTTTTGTAACATCTAAATTTTTGTTCAGCAAATTATTAGTGAATAAGTATTATAGAAGGATAAAGAAAGTAAGTCATTCAACTTTTTTATACTATTTCAATTTTATATAAAAAAGCATTTACACAGACGTTATTTTAACAAACATTAAAAAATACCCTATAATAAAGGCTACAGTCATGTTTTCCTGGGTAACAAAACTTATAACCAAGCCATTCCAATGCTATTTTAGAAATCAAAAGCTTAGGAATTATTCATTTGAGAGTGAATGTCCAGTAAATTCGTGGAATTCTGAAATGCAACAAGCAGGAGGCTTCTCTTGTGCAGGAACGGTTAATGATGGGTCTGCACTAATACTTGGAGCTTACCCACAAGATGAATATTCTGGAAGCACAGTTTGTTTAACTAAGGCAGCCGCTTTATTCAATCACAATGTTAATGGTAAACTTGTTGAACTATTAAAAGCGTCTGGGCCACTTCCAAAGTTAGGTGAAATCAGAGTTTTCCCTAAAGTGGAGCCCGTTTTTAGCGTTGTTGGTGTTGTCGGACTTGGTAATAACAATACAGGTTACGTTAAATCAGAGCAGAGGGATGACTCTAAAGAAAGTATTAGAAAAGCTGTTGGCTTAGCTGCTCGTTACTTCCAGACACTCAATGTTAACAAGATATTTGTGGAGAGTTTTGAAGATCCTGAATCAGCTGCAGAAGGAGTTTTCATGGCCTTGTGGGAAAACCAGTACCTGAGGTCCCACGAGAAGAGGGCAGTAAAGATTCCTGATGTTATGATGTATGGGGATTGCGACTGGAAGAAATGGCGCATCGGGCTAGAAAAAGCCGAAGCTCAGAACTTTGCTCGTAAACTGATGGAAATGCCAGCAAACCTGTTAACACCGAGGGCTTTTAGTCACAACGTTGTTCAAACACTTTGTAAAACCAATGTCGATGTCTGCTTACGCCCTGAAGCTTGGTTAAGAGAAAATAATATGAATGCTTTCATAGCCAACACCAGAGGATCTCCTCAACCCCCGTTCTTGTTAGAGATGACGTACAACGGGTGTGATCCTGCTGTTCCACCCATCGTCTTGATTGGCAAAGGGCTGACTTTCAACAGTGGAGGCCTGTGCATCAAAAGCTGCGAGGAAATGAAACACATGCGAGGAGACATGGGAGGTGCCGCGACAGTGGCTGCAACGTTCAAAGCTCTGGCAAACCTCGGGCTACCCATAAACGTTAAAGGTTTGATACCACTCGGTGAAAACATGCCTGGCGGCACTGCTTTCAGACCTCGTGATATTGTCAAAACTGCCAGTGGAAAATCTATGCTAATTTCTCCCAGAGACTTCGGTGGAACATTGATGCTTGCTGACACACTTTGCTACGCTCAACAGTTTAGACCTAAATATGTTGTAACTGTTGCTACTATGACAAAAGAGGTGCAAACCGCCTTTGATTTGTCCACTAATGGAGTATATACGCAAAATGAACATCTTTGGCAACTACTGAAGACTGCCTCCATTCACACCGGGGACAGACTTTGGAAACTTCCAATGTGGAATATGTTTGAAAGAGAAGTGAAAGATTTTACCTGCGCAGATTTGTCGATACTGTCAAAGAACTTCAGGAGAGGAATACCAGCAACTACGACGGCTTTGCTTAATCAGTTTACTTGCAAACCTAACTGGGCATTCATTGACTCATTTGGCACCATGCATGAAGATGGTAAAACTACGTACCTAAAAAAGGGAATGTCAGGCAGACCAACGAGAACACTTATTGAATTCCTGGGGCAGATGGCGTATCCACCGAAAGAAATGTTGGATCAAAGTGAAAGTACTGGTAATGAAGAATAAGTTATAGAAAAGTTTAAATAATTTGTAAACTGTCTGAGCAATAATATGTTATATGTTTTGTACGTACTTACAAGTAATATTGTATGAGAATTAACAAATTTTATCCATGAAAGTTCTCTCATTGTTTTATATAGTTGTATTCTTAGTTTCATTCGAGAATCTTAAGTTAAACAAATTTATTTTTGTGTAGTACATAGCCACATATTTTACATAGACATATTAAACACATTACTTCATAGGAAATCTTTTAAGACATGAATTTCTAATTACTAAATGGGGCTGCACTTTACTTGACGTCCTACACTCATTCGAATGAAAATATCGATCGATATATCGATTAATCGATTGTTTCATTCGATATATCGTTTGGTTAGTTAGGTAAGGTTAACCTAACCTAACTAACCAAACGATATATCGAATGAAACAATCGAATGAAACTATCGAATCGAAAAAACAATCGAATGAGTGTAGGACGTCAAGTAAAGTGCAGCCCTAAATGGACAAATACTAGAAATAACAGAGGTTGTTGTTGACCTTAATTGTCTTTTAGAATAGGTTGTATAGATTTTGTTCATATTTTGCAACACAGGCAATTTATACTGTTGCGGTATATAGGGTGAGTGCACCAGTGAATGACCGTTTAAGGTTGACTTTCTACTTTAGGACATGGGGAAATATACTACTAAGCTTCATTGTAGGAAATCGTTTAAATGTATTGCCACTATTTCCCTGTACTTCCCGATGATACAACTTAATATATTATTATGTTCAAAAAAGTCTCGAAAAATAAAATCTTTTGCACATAAATCATCGTACCAGTAAATGACCGCATATTATATAACAATTTTTAAATTGTATTAAACCTCGTCCTTTTCACCGAATAACCCCTGTTCAAGATTCTCGCATCGAAGCTGGAAACCCTGTAGTGAAAAATAACGATAGCCTATCAGGGTCGTTAAAATATAGATTCTAGTGAAACATCACTTTTTATCTAGGAAATGACCGTAAGATTTAACTCGCAGTCAAACTTTGGTTATAGTGTATCCACATAATTTCTTATTTGTGACCGAAATGGTCATTCACTGGTTATACCCTAATTTGTGAACCAGTAATTCACCGGCTGTTTAAATATACAATTGGTTAGGATTTTGATCTTTAAATGAGTACAGAATGGTACCTTAACATGTTAACTGTGAATTACATGTAATATATTACAGTTCCAATCAATAATTATTAAGGTACCATCACAAATGACAACCAACCATGCTAGTGGGAGACGCCATAGTGGGAAAAGCTTAACAATTAACTGCTTGAAACATCTAATTTTGTTTGTGTTACAAAATGATGATTGACACTTTCTTTTTGAATCAGTCACAGAGTGCATTTTAATAAGGCACCAAAGTTACTTTTAATACAGTTTGTGATGGACTAGGAAAAACTGGGGGGGGGGGGGTGGTCATTCAGTGGTCATCACCCTAACCATTAAAAACAATTAAGCAGAAATAAGTTATCAGGAATAAAATAATATCAATAGTTAGCTATTAAAATGACTTTTTTCTATACAATTTTATGCGTTTTTAAAATCATAAATGTCACTGATAGAAGAATATCACATACACCACTAAATTTTATGTACTTACCAAGGTGGAAGACAATCATAGCAGGCAGAAATGGATTATCAGGTTGTTTTCGTTCCACTTTCCCCTTTTTATCCTCTTCCGCTGATGCGAGCCACCCAGAATTAAAGGCAAATGAAATAAACACCACAAAGAATACTTTCCACAGAACATACTGCTGTTGAGACCAACAATGTGTAAGGCAGACCATGCCTGCTACTGAAAATGCACTTGTAGTAACTGCCGCTATTGTTTATAAGTGAAAAATTGCTGATTTCTAGATTGATAAGATCTAGTCAACATTAATTTTGTTGAGCTCATATTATGACAACATAGTGGTTACATAACATAGTGGTTTCTGGGTGGATTAAATGAATCATATATGAAGATGATTGATGAAATCTGGATGGTTCTGGAAACATTTCTTAATTGCTAGTGCTGACTGGCATATTAGCTGAGTCATTTTCTTTATGAATAAAACAATAATATTTGAACTATATATAGCTTTATCAGATTGAAGTACAGTAGCAGAATAGACAATAGTAACAGATTGAGTAATATGAATTATTTCGTTTGACTGCAATGATGTCAACTTCATGGAATGTATAACAATATGTAACAGGGACGGAATCCAAAGGGAATTTTCACTGCTTTATTTTTTATTTGACACTTTCATGCAAAGAAAAATTATGAAAAAATATTTGAACAAATTAAGCCCCCAGTATAAAAAATCAAAATCGACGCTACAGATTTTGCCTATTTAGTTTGAAAGCTTTTATTCTTTCCAAATGTGTAATCTCCAAAGTAGTGTTGCCAGAGATTAAAAGAGGACTACTTCTTTATTCTGTGTTGCCGCAAACTAAACCCCTAAAGGTTCAAAAAACAGTGACTTTATTTTATTTTATTTTTATTTTACATACCAACGGACAACTCCATTTTTACATTCTTACAACAAAACAAGATGGAAAAATTTTTAATAACAATAATATAGCATTCGCTCTGGCCTTAGTGAAAATACATGCATTTTCAGTGTCAGTTTAAAATTACAAAGAATTGAAACTTAGATTTGTTCAAAAAGTTACAGTTCATAGCTTCAAATCGCTCACTACTTCTGGTTGATATTTCCTTCTGACTCCTCGTGGACAATCCCCAGTGGGATTTAAAAACGAATTGTCGACCGTGTATATGAATAAATCCTTTTTTATTTATTACAGTAAGTGAATTTTAGGGATTTGGACTCTTGCAACCGACTTAATAGATTTTTGATCAATGAGTAGCTGACCTCGAAGTCGTTTCCACTAGAATTTCAAGAAGGTCATTTTAAAAAAATGGGAGATATATTGGCACCGGTATCAGTGGCGGATCCAGAGGGGGGGGGTGCAATCGCCCCCCCCCCTCGGGCATACCTACATAATATATTTATTAATTTTACTGCAAGTAATACAGTAGTGTATACACATTGCGTAAAATAATTTGTCACACTATAACTTTGGACAAAGAAATGGTATAAAACTACCATTTTGGAGAATTAGTTCACACAAATTTTTCGTGGGGGGGGGGTACCTGAATCCCCCAGACCCCCCACCCCTTGTGACTGTTCTAGATCCGCCACTGACCGGTATACATCTTTTTAGCGAATTTCCCATTAGGGAATAATAGGTAATACCTAATTTCCCATATGGGAGTTTCAATGAAAAAGAACACTAGTCCAAATGTATTAACGTATATAGTTTTTCATGTTTGCAAAAGAAATTGGGTTTTTATTTTTTAATAAGTAGTTGAAAACTTTGAACAACGCTTTAAGTTTAAAGCCACTTTCACCCTACAGTTTTAAAAAATTTTTTTGTGAACTCTGGTAGTGTTGCTGGTTAGTCTATGTCAGTAGGTACCAATAACTTTAAACACATTTCTGTGTTTTAATGGAGGAATAAACAATTTAAAAAACACTGTCTTCTCTGTTCATTGTCTTATTGTTTTAGTAGAACAGATGGAATGATAACAGCTATATTAATATCACATTAGAACAGAAACAACAATTTTACTGAAAATTAAAATATATAAATCAATACAATTATTGCAATATTTTGTTGGTTGAAATAGTTTCATTATCTTTTTAAACACAAACGCAATCCGTCTCTCACAACACTCCATGTAAGACCACCAATAACTTGTACAGCTGGTATTCCTATTCGATTGGACAAACGGATACTTCTAATATCATCGTCAAAGAACAACATTTCATCAAATTTTACCCCACTTCTGCGCTGTAACCTGAAAAAAGTAATATTCATGTCATACCGTACTTATGTAAAGCTAAGCCCGCAATATTTTCTTGTTAAAAGAAAATCCTACATATATATTAGATCTAAGATTTTCTGCTCTAAATTAGCTAGTAGCTAGTTATTATTATTTTTTTTTTTTTTTGTCCTAGGACGCTAGGCACGAGCCTGGGATTGTTTTTCACATTACTTCAGGCTAGACCTAGGAGTTGCGGCATTATCACTTAGATAAAATCCATTGGTGACTTGGCGGGGATCAAACCCAGGACCTCAGGGACTGAAGGCCCGCGCTCTAACCACTACGCCAGCTCGCTCCCCAAGCGTAGCTAGTTATAGTAGTAGCTATTTATAGCAAACTTGCCAGAGAAATGTTTGAGCTCTCCTTTCGATTGTATTAAGTTCACATAGCCTAATAATAATTTGCTGATGGAATTTTTGAGCAATCAGAGTAAACTTAATCACTACAACAACAAAATTAGTTCAAGTTTATTTTGGCAACATAAAACCGCCACCTACTGTACAGTAGACTCCCTCTTATCCGGACTCCTCGGGACCGAGGCAAGTCCGGATAACGGGTTTTCCGGTTAAACTGACGTCCCCAAAACTTCTTATGTAACCCAAATATTTGACTTAAATTTAGGAGAGAATTGTATTTAGACACGTGATCACTGGTCTCAAATGTTTCCCACAAGAACAGTCGTTTCAGTACCGCCCACTTCCTGCCGATCTAGTCCGGTTAACCGACGTGCTGATAAAAATTGTCCGGAGAGATGTAATTTCCGCTGAGTGTAGTTTGGTTAAACCGATGTCCGGTTAAAAGGTGTCCGGACAAGAGGGAGTCTACAGGACTTAACTCCAAGGAAGACAAAATTACACTACCGGTAAGCACCGTACCATAAGCACTCTTTGGTCATATTTTTAAAACATGAAAGTCGTTACTAGTCAAGTGGTATGTTAAGAGTATGATACAGGTAGTATTTTGCCACCAACTTTTCTTTTATTGCCTAAAAATAAAATGTTATTGTCAGTAAAAATCATGAACACCCAATTTAAGATTCTTTGAGCTTGGGGGTGATAAAAAGTCTTTTTAATTAATACCAGAATCGTTGGATACTGTATCAATAGACAAAGGTAATACTTTGGTTGTTATATGATTTCATGATAATTTACATACCTCCGCAGATGCACGGATTTACTGCAGGGATATATTTCTTTGAAAGGAAAGTACTGACTAATATTGTAGAACTGGAGCATCTGATAGGCACTTGCAATATCTTCTATCCGGGAAGCAACGGTCAAAGTAGTTTGATTCGACAATGTTGTTAAAATATCTTCTACTTCAGGATATAAGGAACACACTTTTGAGTCCGAATCTATGATAATCCCATTTCTGTAAATCACAAATTCAGTGAATAATTTTCATCAGACAAAATATACATAATCTGCATTGCAATTTGACAATCAATTGATTTTTTTTAAAGTACCAACATTTTTGTAACAAAAAAGTACATTTCTAGTAAAAGTAGAAAAAAGTAAGTTTCTACACATTTTAATTGATAACTTTCTTCTCTCATGCAGAAAGGACCTCTGGTCTTCTAGAATTTGATCATAGGCAACAATCTAGTAATTTTCAATATAACGTTTTAGTTGGTAGTAATAAGTAAAAAATAAAGTATAACGGAAAAAAAACTTTGCTTTGCTGAGTTGTGTGGTTGGATATACTTACGAATGTTGACTTATAGGCTTTTTGAGTTTGTCTAGTTGAAAGGCCCACAGCGTCAAATCTACAAGAAATAAATTATTGGTAAAATCTGTTCAAGTTTAGTTAACACAGGTAGTATAATATACGTTACATCATGTAATTTGAGATCTTGTGTTTTTTTTAGTGTAAGGATAAATACCTCTGTCACAGCAAACCTGCAAAATAAGCAAATTTCCAATTGCTTGATTGGATTTACATTAAAATGTCTTTAAAAATATCACATTTATTTCCTAGCATTAGTTTAACGAGTACTTGGGCTTGCTGCAACAGGTAGGGTAAAGATGATTTTTTGTTTGTAACATGTTAATAGTTTAGTATGAAATAAATGCATTTTCAAAATTTGATCACAATATGTTTGTAAACAAGCAAACTACAACAGTTTACTTATTTTCCATAAGAATAAGACGAGAATTTTAAATTTACAAAATTTTGAATTTTCTCCGTAACCATTAGGCGCATATTAACGCTTCAATATACTAAATTATTTGTTTTTTTTTTAAGCTCTACAATATTGTTTGGTGAGAATTTGCTTTTTTTTAGGGTCAAAAGTGGGAGAAACCAATTTTTACCCCATAAACACCCGTACCCGTAGTCCGATCATGCTGGTTCGCAAACTCATTCAAATAAATGTAGGTTTATACCAAATTTCATCAAAATCAGATAATTTTTGCTCAAGTTATTGTGCTAACACACACATATATAAATAAATATATATATGAATTTGAACGGATTGTTTCTTTGGCCCCTAGGGACCTTAAAACGAAAAAGTAAATCGGTCCCGGGTCCAGGTCTTACCATGAGTACTACGGTAATAGCTTATTTTATTCCCTATTTGGGAAATTCGCTAAAGATATATAAATATATGAATGAATTAAATAATATGTTTACCGCATATTGTATACAGGAAAAAATGCATACTTTTGAATACAAAATATAAACTAAGACTAAGAAAAAAAAATAAGATTTCTATATTAATTAATTTGGTTAAATTTATGAAATCAGCAGACACAGGCAAGTGCTGCCTGTGCATCTGATGGGTTGCTATGTAAATAACTAATAGTAACCAAATCATAATGGAATTATTAAATACAAAATATTAATAAATGGAACAGACTGTTGCTTAAAATGTTATACAATAATGTTAAACATAAAGTTAAGATAAATCAAACGTTGTTGTATAAACCTACATAATCTGATAATCAACAACAACTACAAGTTGTTCTCTATTATTCTGTCCTTAAATCAAAACATCAACAAGTTGTCTGTCGTCTGCAGCACCTCTGTCCAGTCCAGTCCATGTGAGGTCAATATTGCTTTGCTATTGCATGTCAGTGGTTAGAGTTCTGCGTTGAGGTTATGTTTGGTTTATAAAGCATTCAGCATTGTAAACAAACCAACCAGTTTTTGAAGTGAGGGGGTTTACGAAATATACCGTTCAATCCAGTTTTTAATTTTAAAGGTTCCTATTTTCATGGGTAAGTAGAGTTAAAAAAAGCTAGTCTGAGGTAGGACATCCCTACTAGGCCTAAGACATAATTAAAAAAAAAATGGCACTGACTTAAATATTTTGGTAGGTAGCCTACACCTAAATTTGTTTTTCTAGTGGGGCCTTGGTACACCTTAAGCCGCGTTTACACCGGAGTTTCAAACAAAAAGTTGCAAACTTTTATTGCAAACAGCCGTTGCAAACAGTAGTTTCAAATAAATGTTTGCAATTTTTATTTCATAATTTGTTTCCATGTTTCATGAGATTGTTTGAAATAATTTCGACCTTGATTATGACTCGCCTCGTTCTGGTTCCTCGGATCAGTCCTTCCGAGCATGTCAAGTGTCGAGGATGTTATTTTAGCCGTGGCGGCGTGTGTCGTGTTGTCAAAGCAACGTAGGCCGAGACGATGCAGGGTGAAAATTGGTAATTGTATAGATCATCAAATTAAAATTATTATTAATTTTTAAAGATTACAAGGACTTAATTATAACCCTTTTAATTCACATGAGATGTTATTGTTATTTTTAAATTAGACGACCTTGTCATTACTGTAGGCGAGAGTTAAGAAGTCCTCTGAGCCAGAGAGAATGCAGCAATGTTTGTATGTTGCCCCGCGGTATTTGCAGGTGCTCTTTTGGTTTTAACGCAGTGGATGAGAGCCCTGACTGCCGCGTGGAACATGAGTTAACCCGCTCGACCCGCCTAGACCTCAAGTAGCAAGCGCCTGCATATTTACAATAGGCCAGGACTCAGAGGACTTCTTAACTCTCGCGGACAGTATAGGTTAGTGTTAGTTCATTGACAGTCAAACAGCATTTTTCCGATTAATTTAACACAGAGTCGAGACACAGGGTGGTGTGAGTGATCCCGTGAGTGAGAGTGAAGGTGGTAGCGTAGGGGATGGCGAAGAAATGTTTCTGTTTCGTCTTTCAACGGCTCACATTGACCGAAACTAGTGTTGCAAACAGAGAGTTTGCAACTCCCTTTGATCTTTACCGACTTCAAGTGGAAACAAAAATTTCTGTTGCAAACACTGAAAAACTGTTTGCAACAGCGAAATGTTTTGTCTAAAAATGTGCGTTCTTCAAGATGTTTGCAATTTCTGTTTGCAACTCGTGTTTCAAACTCGGGTGTAAACGCGGCTTTACTGTAGCATTCTTTGTTTCAACAGTGTTTTATTAAATTTGGAATTTATAAGGTAGTATAAGTTATTGTAGCTAATAGGTTTATTCAGATTAGGTAAAAATCAGTCAGTAACTTAAATTTACTAGTGCTAACATTAATTTTAATCATTAATAGCCACAGTTTAAAAACACCAGAGGCCTTACAACTTAAACTAAAAATTAACTTGAATGATAAAAATTGCAATAAATCAACAAACCGAAGGTGTAACAAAGATCATCAATTGCAGAGTTAAGCTATGCAAACAATAAAAAATAATACAAACTAACTTGCCCTAACTTGATTGAGGCCTAACTTATGTTTATTTCTGCTAATATATCAATTGATCTACTTCTATTCATTCCGCGTCTATAATTTAGATAATCAGACGTTGGCTAAAATAACTATAGGCTAGCCTAAACACGTTGAAATAAATCATTGAACACAACACAGTTGGCGAACTAGAGAAGAGTAGGCTAGAAAAGCCGTACCATTTTAACTCTTCACAAAACATCATATCTTACTAACAGCTTCAGGGAAAAAATGTAAATAAAAAAAAATTTAAGATGGCCATATGTTTACATTAGCAATAAGCTAGACTAACTTAGTCTACATGATGAAACATGTACATTATTTACTTAAACGATGATTTATTATGCAATTTCTTTCAGAAAATATAAATGACATGATCAGTTTAAAGCAATGGACAAGAAGACTTCCTACAAACAAGCGAAACACGTTTTTATGAAAATAATTCTTGTTTACATGTCATTGAATAGAGTCAGCGATGTATATAAAACCCCCCAGAGGTGACATACAACTTGAAGAGTTGACTGAATGTGTTACTACTAGGTTTCAGTATTTTTTATCAAGATATCAATCACAAGCCATAAAAGAAAATGAAAATAGTTCTCTTAAATTTGAATATCTTACTCTAGGAACAGCTCTGGATCGTGTTGGACATTTTACATTGAGGTAATACTACACAAGTTAGCTTTAAATTATTCAATAATAAAATCATATATTGCCAAATCAGATTTCTTAATAATGTGTATGCTTGATTCTTGCCTACCTAATGTGTATGGAAAGAATAAATGAATAGTTAATAAATGATCCTAGGTTAATGACACAGCTGATCTTAGTCAGTAACAAAGCTACTCAAATCATCCGTTCCATTCTACACCCATATTTTACTCATAGTTGGGTTAAAATGCGCATCTAGGCAGCGTTACCATCTCAATAATAGATAATACAACAGCTGTAATAAGAATGAATACTTAAATACTTGAATACTTATGAAAATATAAAAGCTGGTTTTCGTATGTGGTGTTTTCCTATGGCTACACCTGCTTTTTTTCGTATTAACTGAACACACAATAGTCAAGTATAGGCTAGTGATGCGATAATCAAGTGAAAAAAAAGAATCGATTCTTTCGATTCAATTATTTTAAGAATCGATGAAATATCGATGAAATGTTTGCGTGAATCGATTCTTATTTGTTAGCTTCCTGCACTTGATTCCATTTCTCTGCAGGTCGATGCATGCCTATGATATTTATCACTACTACTAGTCAGTCTATCTCAGTGGCTAGGTACACACACATGCACTGATTTGTTGGTTAGGTGCTTAAAAGATTTTGGAAAATATAATATTGTGAAAGTTACTATATTTATTTTTTAAATCACGAACTGTGTTAAGTGAACTTTCATATATTCAGTTATGAATAATAATTGAACTATTTCTTAACTTTGAACTATTTGAAATTATGTAAGTTTGTATTATAAATACATCAATGTGTATTTACAACTAAGAAGTAACTCATTGGAAATATAATTATATTTCTAATTTTAGCAAATTTCCCATATAGGGAATAAGCTATTTATATGTACTGACAACTATTATATTTTATGAAACTTTTGTCTATTTTTTATTATAGTTGTATCCACCCAATTTTATATTAAGCCCAGTAATTTTTATAATTGCTAAAATGTCGTAAGATGGAGAAATGCAGACTATTTCAAAGACTCGATTCATAAGCACAAGAATCGATTAATCGATCCTCGTTAAAGAATCTATTCATCGATTCTTTTGATATCGATTCTCCCATCACTAGTATCTAGGCATTTGTTTTCTTGCCGGCCGAATTTGATAAGGAAAATTCAATGACTAAATGTGTGACACATTATTTACGCTAACACGGAGGTGTTTGAGTATAAACTGCGCGTGGTCAGTGGAGTAGGTATGTCCTTTATCTTATCACCTGAGGTTGTGTCCTGTCTATCACACTATTCCCTCTCTTGTTTAAATGTTTATTTATTTTTGTGTAAAATATGACAATCTTCATATTAAGAAAGAAAAACGCCCTTCTACAGCCTGATGTTGGCTCTACCTAGGAACCGAAACTATAAATTGCGTTTGCAACGAGATTGGATTGCATAATACAGTAAGGTATTTAAACCTTTATAAATATTTTTTTACAATCCAGAGGCTAACATATACTATATGGAGATTTTAAATCAGCAAATGGCAAAATAATTGTTTTTTTTATCTAGATGTAATGTACCGGTAGTTGTATTGTGATACATCCTAGACCATCCTTTACTATTGTGAGTACTCAGTTGTGAAGAATAAGTCATCTTGCGTTTAAAAAAAGATCACTAATTGCTATCAACCTTTTCAAAATTGATCATATTTTGACACAAACATTTCCGTTTCAGATTGTTGGCAGCTCATTGCGATGACCTTAGTCAGTTCATTGGATCGTCAGAAGCTTCTTTTTTTGTTGAGAGGCTTGAATTGTCATCACCAAAACAAATTGTTCAATTTATTAACACAACACTAAGGCATTTGGAAGAATCTGGCAACTCAGACTTTGGATTATTATGGAGAAATGAGTTCTCTGAAATTTTAAGTTTAATGAGACACGCTTTTAAAAGTTCTCATATGAACGGCTTCAGTCATGAACAAACGTGCTGTCATTATGTGTGTAAAGGTTGGTATGAATAATTGGGTAGGAAACTATTATTTATTTTTTTATTAAAAATCCACATGAAGTTGTCTTCAACACAAGTCAGTGCAATTATTCTTAACTCACAAATCAGATTTAACTAAGGGAAATAATGTTTAAGAGAAATAATGTTTTTGTTCAGACTCTAAAAACTAATTTAACACTGGTGCTTTATTTATTAATTAATGCTATAACATATTTTGGTGTTAAAATAAATTTCATCAACTTAAATGTAACAGAGCTATGGAAGTTTATGTTTTACGTATGCAATTATTTTTTCAGTGCCCTTCCAGATGTGTTTGAAAATGGTAGCAAAAAGAGAACTTCAGTTGGAAAAAGGAAATGTTTTAGTTCCTTGTGGGAAATGGAAGCAATTTTTACACTGTTTTGCAGAAGACTTCTATCTCAATGAAGTGTTTAAGATGAAATCTAGTCCAATTATAAAAGAATTCATGTCAGATGATCGACTAATAGAAATTAAGAAAGAAGTAGTGAGAATATTCTACAGTAACTCACAACACTCTTTAAGTAAAGAGGCGATCAGACCAGATGACATTAAAGAATTGCACAAGTTGTTCCCACCTTGTATGGCAAATTTGTACAACAATCTCAAGAAAAATCACCGGTTAAGTCACTATGCTAGGTTCAACTTTTCCTTGTTTTTAAAAGACATCGGATTGTCTTTAAATGATTCTATTGCGTTTTGGAAGAGTGAATATTCACAGCCTAGCAAGTGCGCAGGCAAGTGCTCACACTCGTGGCAAAAGGACTCTGCGAAATATACTTACAGCATCCGACATCTGTACGGATTAGAGGGAAAACGAGCAAATTATCGTGCTCCATCCTGCTATAAAATACAGGTCAGTTGAGCCATTAAACATAAAATATTTCAGGATAATTCTATTCACTGTTGAAGATCAAATATGGTGTCGCAGAAAGACAAGAATATTTTAAAATTTTTTAAATTTTGTATCCTTTCCTATGCTGGTATATAATTAAGGGATAGGCTACTGATTTTGAGCTTGTGTTTGGGTAAATATTTTTCAATGCAAGCAAAAGCATGTATTTACAATAAAAGTTATGGGCCTTTAAAAACAACGATTGTTTGAAAGCTACACCAGAGTCCCACTAATCCGAATCACCTTTCAGAGAGAAAAGGGTTACATTTTTTTAAATTATAAACAAAAAGCTTCATGTTCTGGAATACTAATCGGGTGTCCAGCCAACTAAAAACCAGGAAATCATGATTTTGTGTGGAACCAGGAAATTTGGAACTGTTACCCATGGCCAGGCATCCATTCATTGACAGTTCTCCATTGGTTCTTTTTTAAGTCCTGTAAATAGAATGTGATCGCAGGAGATGATCATGAATGTTATGAATTCAATCATGGTGTAGCCATGATTGCTATAAATAATTTTGATATTGTTATGTCGCTGGAGCCATTAACATATATGACTGAGTATATGCCCATTTTCAGTCATAAAAACATGCGTTTCATTTTTTTTTACTTTACTGCATTCCGGCTGAAACTAACAGTTTGGTAATTAGAATAAGAGTCTGTTCCCAATTAGTTCGATTAGCAGGATTCTCTGCTACAAATCATGACTTTTTGGAACTTACTTGCTAAAAGGATATTTTGTTGATTGCTGTTTTTCAGAACAACAATCTCGGTCCTGTTGAAGAAGGAGGCTGTCCATTTTTGACCTTTGATGCGAAACAACTTGGAAAATGTATTGAACCTTATATTTTACAAAACAAGGAACAAGTGATTGAAATAATTTTGCAGCTAAAATCTGATGATCATACCAAGGCTTGTGATTACTACAGAAAAACTCTGTTGAAGGAAGCCAACGTGGAGGTTAGCAATGATGCAGCAACACACAGATCTCCTGTTGAATATTTTAATTTGTCAAAACATTTATTGTTTGACAGATCTATTAAAGAGTAGTACGTCTAAAATATGTTTGATTATAAACAAAAAGTACAGCCATAAATAAAACTGTGCAACCATGTAGTATAATTTTATAGACCAAGTATTTTACTACTCTACAGGTTTGTTTCTTTGTTTACTACTTCAATATGTAAATTCATTCTAACGTGGACATATATTAAATTTTGGATGTATATTTGTTGGGTACTCAATCAGGCCAAAATTGCTGAACAGAACCGGATTTTATTTTGCACAAAGTAAGATTATAATCTTGAAAAAACATAGGCTTGGCGGTGTTTTAACAATCCTACCAACAATAGTTGATTTTAGATCTGTACATAGCTTTAGTGATGTTTTAATGAACACAACTCAGTTTTACTTTTTTGCCTTTATTATTTAGTTATTAGGGTTTACAATAACAAGCTCTTGATTTTTATAAATAAATTATATTTATTGCAACAATAACAAGTTTAAAAAATAAATAAATATCCACAGTTATAATTATCACATAAAAGTATTACTATTGTCAAATTAATTTTAATAAAGCTCAGGCTCCATGGGATTTAACAAATAGTGCTAATCCCTCCTTCAGTGTTTTCATACTGACTTCAGTTTTTACAAAATAACAAGTGACTTTAAGCTTTGATATAGTTACAATGTTTCGGCTTTCATCGTCAAAAAACAACATGTCTTCATAAGCAACATTGGAGTCCCTTTTGATCCTGAAATCAAGACAAATTATATAAAATTAAAGAACTTGATAACAACACTTTTTTTTAAATAGAAGTGTAGTTCAGCTCCTCAGTAGCTGTTGGTTTGTTAAGTTATTCTGGAAAATGTACCTTTAGATTGTGTAGGCCTACACTATTGAGTGTCCTAGAACCTGCTACCTACACATGATATTTTTTAACTTTGCTTGATAACTGATCATTTAAATTTAAAACTTATTTTACCATATTAAAACTATAGATTGAGTAATGATTGTACTTTTTCGGGATTTTGGTTTGGTGCTCCAGTATTTAGGTTCGTCTTGAAGTGCTGCAATGTTCTGAAAATGCAACTGAAACCAAGTTTGTTAAGTTTTCTCTAGCTCAATATAAAATTGTTTACAATATACAGAGTAAGGAGGTAAAAGTTTTTAAAATTTTATATTTTAAGCTTATAAGTATTTCTGCAAATATTTCTTGAATCCTAAACCTATTTAACATACTATGTAGTAGACGTAATAATTTTATAGTCTAAAATTTCCTACAAACAGCTTTTAACACCAGTGGTTATGATCATGAGTTCAGAACTCCTGTAGTCTGTTGTCGTATACATTTAATAGTTTGAGCTTTATTCATCTGCAAATATATATTTACCTCCTTTAAATAGCCTATCTAACTTTCTGCAAATAGAATCGTCAATTTTTTTACCTTATCCCCTCTCCCCCCTTTAGCCTATATATCATTGAAGACTCTTTCAACAAATTGGGCAAAGCTGGAGAAGAATTTCCAGCAGACTGTAAATTTTTTTTGGACAGGTTCAGCTGGAACAATGATAAATCAAGCAAATAGAAAGACATGTTCAGTTCATCTTACTTATTGAAATGTGCCGTCTTCTCCCCCGGGTAGATTTCCTTGAAGTCAAAGTATTTGTCTAAATCAAAATATTTCAACATATCTCTTGCTGCTGGCGGTTCTTGAGTTCTTGAAGCCGCTGCAATCAAAATGCCGTTGTCCTTCAAAGTTTCAAGAACCTGCACCACTTCTGGGTAGATACGGAGTTTTGTTCCACTTGCGTCAGTCACGACTCCGTTCCTGAAAAGTTTTTAACAGTTTTTAAAATCATCCCTTATGTAGAGACATTTTTATTCAGAATACGCTGCTCACTACATTATTTGTTTGGTTACGTTACCTTACATAATGTGTAAGCTTGCATGAATGTGTAGGCTATGTCATCAAGCCTATATTTTCACCAAAGATAGATAAAACGATTGTATTAGTTTTTTGTCAACATTGTAACATAGCTGACAGCTGCAGCTGGTGGTAGTAAGTTATCACATCATCTCACAGCAAGGGCTTCGCCGAGAGGTGCAGAGGGGGGAGATAAAATAGGCATATTTGTATGAAAAAAATATGACTGGTCACTAGTTTTTGAGTCCCAACATCTTCAACAAAAATGCATCAAACCTTGTTTGTGAACGTTATTTTTCCAAAATTTCTGAGGGGAGGTCAAACCTCCATTGTTTTTGGACTTCCTCCAGTAAGTCACCTCCTACCATGCAATTTTGTAGAGGTGCCCTTGTCTAACAAAAGCCAAATACAATATTAGCATTTGCCATAAGTTGTACTGGCATAAGTTGCAATTTTAAAGGTTTTTGAACCTGTCTACACCTTATAAAATAAAATATATTAACCTAGCACTTGTGGAATGTAACATGTTATTTGTTTAAACAATAATATTTTTACCTTATCTGCTAAAGAAAAATAATAATAATCATGCTACTAATTGTAAAAGTAGGCCTAGGCCTAGTTAAATTGTTTTTAACCATTGACATTTTTAAATACTTGATAGAATAAGGACTTTTCATTATTGTTTGGTGAGGATTTAACTTATTTAGGTGCCATGCAACTAATATTTAAACTTACTTTGGTTTCCTTATTGGTAGACTGATATGAGTATCGACCCAGTATGGCCATAACGTGTAGTCTGTAAAACAAAACTATTTTAGCCAACTAACTTATCGAACTTGAAGAACCTGTTAAAATTCTTGACGCATTTAACAATAACAACAAAATTCTTAACAATTAACTTAACATTTTTTGTCCGCTTAAAATGTTGGTCTACTTTAATTTAAACAATGTAGTCAATAGACATTATAAAGACTCCTGATCAATCTAGGGCTACAGGAGTTAAATAATTTTGTTTTATCTCTTTTCCACAATATTTGGGTTTGCTTACGCTCTGATACTAACGTAGACTAAAATTTGTAGCTGGGCGGGAAAACTTACCGTAGATGTTAGAAGTTGGAAACATTACTGATGTTTGAGCTATTCTTTATATTTTAAAACAGCAAGTTAAGTCAATACCGGCAGGTAGGCCTACCGTTATATCCGTAGGTAGTATAGCCCTTTAGGCTATAGACACTAAAATATTTGTACTGATACTGATGCACAGACCTATTTAGCACTAACTTACAATAAAAATAAAGTCTTTAGCATAATTTTTTTTGTACGTAGCCTATGAACTTCAAGTGACCTTGCTAGAGTGGAGGCTAAATAACCTATGTAAGCCTACGTTTTTAGAGTAATTTCCTCGCTTAAGCTTACTGCTGAGTAAAAATTAATCTTTTGGGTTTTAACGCAGGCTGGATTTGATCACTTTCCTGCTCCCTGGGCTAGCTCCTTTAGCATTCCAAACCTTGTTATTGTTACTCCAATTCAACATTAAAATAACGATAGGTTTCCAGAAAAAGAAGGGTTTTTACTGTGAATCAAAATTATAACTTAGTTTGATACTTACCTAGGTCAAATACAACTAATTTCGGCAACGGGTTGAATTCTTTCAACAATTCAGTTTTAGCAAAAGAGGGTCTACTCTGTTTGGCCATTAAAAAAGACCGCCTATACAAGATGTAAATTATTACCGCTTAATTAGAATAAATCACAATCTAACTTATTCAAAGCTCGCCACTGTTAGTGTACCAATGTTAAAGTTTAACAAAAAAACAACATAACCTCAATTTTAATCCACATCCATCCAAGCGTACAGACGACACACAGCAATGTTGTCCCAGTCTAGGAGCAACACTCAACTGGTGATCGATCTTGTCGTTGATTATAGGATTTTCCACAGTCAATAGTCTTATCAACTGAGTTTTTTAAAAGACGACTTTGAGATACCGGTATATTAAAATGTGAAACACGATCTTGAACATCTGGTCTTATACTACATTCCAAAAATAAAAGCTAGTATAGTGCTAAAAAAAGTTGGGTGGTTTTGAACTATTTTATTTTCTTGTGTTGAAAATTAATGTGCCAGGATGTTGCACACTCCCCGAGTGCAGTATCTGAAAAATTGTATCTTAAAATTCTCTAAGGGTTCTCCACTTCTTTCTTGTCCTCCTTAAACACATGCTGCTGGCCCTTAATGTCGCACATATGGTTTTTTTACCCTTATCCAGTTCATGACCCTTGTGGCCAGATTTACTAAATGACTAGTCCACTTTTCTACCTTCTTTCTAATAAAGACATCTTTTTCTGTTTTGTCACATCCAACAAATCCTCTTAAAAAAAACTACTCCCGCAGTAACAACCTCTAATCCTGATATGTTGGCAAGGTCTAATGTTGATGGTTCAGATCCAACAATCAAACGGGTTTTGTGAGCTTGTGGGTGGTAACCATATTTAGGCCCAATTTCTTGTAATTTCTCCGGGTCGCCGGAATTTTATTCCCCTGGAATTTTACCCACTGGGCAAAGCTGACGTCACTATGACATATAGTAACCTGAGTGGCCAAACATTTGTTCGCGGCCGGAATTTTACCTTCGCGGATTTGGAAGTCTAATGAAAATAGCCAGAGCGTGATTAATTAGATAAGCGATAAAAACCGGAATTTTACCCCCTGGTCCATATAACTAGTGTTTAGACAACTGAAGATGTACGGGCCAGATTTTTACCCCCGGATTTTTACCCCCTCGCCGATTTTAGAAATTGAATGATTGATTTTCTTATTTCTGTTTTTAATTAATTGTAAACATTTCATTATTTAGTAGCCTATCTTTATTATTTACTAGCTGTAACCCGCGGGCTTTGCCCCGTTTAACTTCTTAATTTTCAAGATTATCTCGTTCGCATGGCTCAATCACGTCCTGGTTGAAGTCTGTTCGCTACGCTCACTCACCTTTAGGTTGGAGCTCGTTCGCTACGCTCACTCACCTTTAGGTTGAAGCTCGTTCGCTGCGCTCACTTGCCTTCAGGTTAGCTCGTTCGCTACGCTAACTCGCCTCCAGGTTGAAGTTCGTTCGCTACGCTCACTCACCTTTTGGTTGCAAATTAGCTGTTGTCATAAATGTAAAAGAAATAATAGTGCTGCGAACCAATTGGTACCGGGAGTTGGTAATTTTTGTAACTTTAATGCTATTGAACATCACAGAACAGAACCAACTTGTTAAATTGAAACAGCTGTTAAGATTCAATAATTCCATTTCTCATAAGGTTAACATGGGAAACTCCAGAGCCACTGGGGCGGAGCCCGAAAGGATTTTTGAAATAAGAATATGCCTATATGTTAATCGGGAATGTGAGCTATCATCATGCCAAATTTCAGCCCAATCCGACCACTATTTTTCGCGTTCACTTGTCACAAACATACATCCATACATCCATCCATCCAAACTTTCTCATTTATAATATTATAAGTAGGATTTATTTTGTAAAGAAATTTATATACGTCATATTAACCAACTGTTGGCTTCAAATATCGTATCCTAATACTAGAATCTCAAAATTAATATTAACAACCTGTTCGATTAGTTAATGTTACAAATAAATTAATATAGGCTTCTTAATAATTAAATGTTTACTATTAAATTAAAACAGAATGCAGATAATTAATCATTCTCACTAATTTATATATCTGGCCAGGGGGTAAAATTCCCGGGGTAAAAATCCGGGGGGTAAAATTCCGGGGGTAAAAATCCGGGGGGTAAAATTCCGGGGGTAAAAATCCGGGCCGTACACTCTAGGTTTTTATAATTTGATGTGTTCTGATTAAATTCACAACCGTGAAAATATATGTTTAATTCCCCGTTTAATCCATCGAGCTGATGTCGCGAAACTCAAAAGTTCGCTGACGGAATTTTACCCCCAGGTTTGTGACGTCACGTTTGCCCAGGGGGTAAAATTCCAGGGGGATAAAAATCCGCTACCCCATTTCTCCCACCACTTCATCACATTATAAAGTTTTCCTTGGCATGATGAGTCCTCCACATACCATACTTCGTTTGTCTCTGGGATGGTTTTTAATTTATAAATTAAAGGCAAAGTCTAATGTATTCTTATGACAAATGAAGATTATTATTATTAATATTTATATTATTACTAGCAGAGTACCCGTCCTTCATACGGGGTTGGTATATAAGTAAAAAATTCTTATTGCAGTTATACTCAAGCTTTGGATTTTCAATGGGGGAGGACACAGTTTGATAAAATTTGCTTCTTTAAATTCACGGTGTACCCTATAGTATTACACATCTACCATAGCCATAATGTTCCACCACTTCACCTAAACAATAGAGAAAAATAAATTATCAAAAATTCACAGATTATCACAAATTATTCATGAAATTAAAAACATAAACATAACTGTAAACAATCCTACTTTGTTTTTTGTTGCTGCTTAGTTCAAATTAGCTGTTTTTGGTTTTCATAAATGCAAAAAAATATTGTGCTGCACCCTGTTGGTAAATCTTGTAACTTTTTAATGCTTTTTTTACATATCATAGAACCAACTTGTTTAGTTGAAACAGCTGACTAAATTCTTTAATTCCCTTTAAATATGTATACTCATAAGGTTAACATGGGGAGCTACAGAGCCACTGGGGCGGAGCCCGAAAGGATATTTGAGATAAGAATATGCCTAATGTTAATCAGGAATGTGAGCTATGATCATGCCAAATTTCAGCCCAATCCGTCCAGTAGTTAATGCGTGATTGAACTTCAAACACACAAACTTTCACATTTATAATATTAGTAAGATTATTCACATTATTTATAATATTAGTAAGATTATAAGTCACAGATAGAGAACCTGGCGAGTGGTGAACATCTCAGTTGCTTACCATCTCAGAACGATTAGAACTCTCCAGTCTCCACCATCTACTACAGTGCTGTTTCCTGTCTGGGAAGATACTCGCCACTCGGCATATGAAGCTTCACATTGTATATCACTTAAAATTCTGATTCTGGTAAACCCCAAGTCCTAGAGTACAGTGAAGGTTTTAACTTTCACAGGATATATTTAAGCTCAAATTAATAGTTTTGAGTGAGGATTGTTAGGTTACTCATATTTCCCAACATTATGAGACTTTAGGGCTTTTATTTTAAATATAGCTCAAATAGGGAACATAATGGCTGTACTAGCTGGACCTTCTTAAATGACAGTCACATCATCATCTACTCTACACCATGCCTTACAAACTGCAACTTTGTACCTGCTTGATTTTTACTGTTCAAGAATAGTTTGAACAATAAAGAAACATTGTGATGGGTCAATCAGTATTTTTGAGGTCCTTAGCAGGTTGGTCCTTCAGGCCACAGCATTCTGGATCTTAACCCAGACCCCGACTAAGGTTTCTCCTAAGCTAATAGGGGCACTTCAGTAAGACCTGGAACCAAAGCATCTAGGTTGCAAGAACTTGGTTTTGGAAACAGGTGAAATAAAAATCCGCAACGTACAAATAGTATTTTTTTATTATAAAACCACTTACAGATAAATGCACAATCTATAGTAAAAACATATCAAATATGGAATAAGATAAAAACAAATGCAATGGCATGAGAGGAGAATACAATTTTATAGTGAGACTGAGATGACTTTATCTTCGGACACTCTCATACAGGTTTTAATGTACTTGTCTACGGCTTGGCGCAACTCTCCATCCATCTGAAACAATAAATTGAACTATTTTGACATTCAAATTTAACGTATGATTTAAAGAAAAAGCAGACTTTTGAGATTTTCTGGACATGTGGTAAGGAGGAGGTATGACACTGATCAAACAGATTTGGAAGAAAACACAGGACTTAAACATGGAAAGTGAACCATTAGCTTATGCAAGCTCTTGCAGAGGACATGACCAAAGAGACAGAGAAGGAGGTCATAGTGGAAACACTGAATGTCTTCTTACGAAGCTCCCTCACCAAATGAACATGATCATCTACACAGATCATCTCACTCCATTGTACTGTACAATCATCCTTCACTTGTATTTGGGTTATATACCTTTGACTATTAATACAACAACTAGACATTCCACCCCATGTTAAAGTTGTAGCCAGGTTTTTAATAAAATTTGTCTTAGTTGATGTAAGCCACCTACAGATTGCGCTGATCTAAATTACAGATTTTTGCCGAGTACATGATGATTTTTACCAAGTAAAACTGATGGAATTACTTATTATGAGCTATAGCAACTGTTGTGACCCAGCAACTATGTCAGTAACGAAAAATAAGGTACAAAATAGAGTTTTAGACACTAGCGCAATCTGTGACTGGCTCACACAACTACATTCTTTTTTTTTGTAAACAAATGGTGACAGCTGATCCATATAGATGGGATGTCTTCTTCTGTATCCAATAGTGGATGGTTATACGCATTTATGACGTCTCCATCTCAATTGATACAGTAGACTCCCTCTTATCTGGACACCTTTTAACCGGATATCGGTTTATCCAGACTTAATTCGGCGGAAATTACATCTTTTAACCGGACTAGATCGACAGGAAGTGGGCGGTACTGAAACGACTGTTCTTGTGGGAAAGATTTGAGACCAGTGATCACGTGTCTAAATACAATGCTCCTCCTAAATTTAAGTAAAATATTTGGATTACTGTATACAGTGTGCATTTAAACGGTCCGTTTTACAAGTTTTTGGGGACGTCAGTTTAAACAGAAAAACCGTTATCCGACTGGCCTCAGTCCCGAGGAGTCCGAATAAGAGAGAGTCAACTGGAATGATAATGAACCATCTACTGATGATCTTGAGCAAAGTCATCAGTTAGATCAAGATGCACAGCTGGAGCTGGACGTCTAACAGATTTATCACAAGACTCAGGAGAGACGCAGACATTGATAGCACAACATGAGTAAATAAATATGTTAATATTATCCAGTGGTATATGCAGCTGGTGTTTGTAAAGATGATTTAAGATAGCAGTAGACACTTGCATAAATAAATATGTGTGCAGCTTCGTGTCATGGAAAACTGATGAACTTTGTAGAAGATGGGTTGAAGTACCTCTTTTAATGACTAATAATCTTTCACAGACCTCCAAACGGATTGCATCAGACACCCTGAGGTTGGATGGGTAAAAATCAGACAACCAGGACTCCTTGAGGTAAGATGGACAATTCTTGGCAATGTGGTGCAAAGAAGGTGGCACCTTCCTAAGGTGTGAGGAGGAACTGATCGGTAGAATGCAGGCATACAACAGGTGAACTTTGAAAGCATCTGAAGAAGATAACTAATTGAGGTAGCCCCTTGGAACCTTGGCTCACCCCTTCCAGATAAGGAAAATAGAAGACACTATAACCATGTTTATCATACTAATATAGAGGATTTAGTCCATGATACCCTTCAATTTCATTTCAGAGTGCCAATAAACTAAACACCCAATTCAATACACATACATCTACTAGGTATACTGGCCACCTCATTTTCTAATATTTTTTGAAACTATACAATTTGAGATGAGATCCAAACCCACCTTGTAATGGGCGAGTTCGGTCAGCAGTCGGTCTATGACGTTCAGAGGGAGACACAGAGGAGGCGCCGTGGCCATCAGGGCGTGACTGAGACCAAAGTGTTCCTTGCCTTGTCCTAGAGCGGCCTGTAGCAGCTCACAGGCTAGTGTGCTGGCCTGGGTCAGATCTCCGTGACTCAGGTAGAGTCGCAGCAGCTCTGCACTGTTACGTTTCTGCAAGAGGGATACACAATCAAAAATTAAACATAATGCAGTCAACGATACAATGTTAAGTGGACAAAACATGAACATGGGGGATATGTTCTAAGGCAGCTAAAAGACTTGCTTGTAAAAAAAATCAACAAACGGAGGAAAGTAGTCTTGAGAACAAAGAGTCAATGTTTGGGGTCAAACATTGTGAAGAAGTGTTTGGCATTGCTATGTGAGTAGGCTGGAAGTGTTGTTAAACAATACCTTGTCATGTTGATCTACTGAAGGCTGCTTTAAGTAGGTCGATGGACTTGATCCTGTCAGTTTATTATGTAAATCTGTAAACTGATCCAGAGGTCACAGAGAAGTAATAATATTAAGGTAAAAAGTCTTTATAATACTATGACATTATAGAGTTAACATTGTCTCACGGAACAATCCAACTGCTACAATTTCTCTCTAGTAAAGACGGAGGTTGATATGTCTGAGTAATGCTATTCTTACTACCCTCTATCAAAGATTGATCTGGAACTCACGATTTTCTGACTAGTTACCGACAACCAGTATTCCAGAACGTAAGGGAAAGAACCATGATTACCTTGGCAAGGGTCTTTTTAAGTACTTTTTCGGAAGTTATTTCTTTATCTTGACAAATTGGAAATGGAAGATAACATACCTTGTACGATGACTGGAGCCAGTGTGGTAAGAAGACAGAGAGAGACATGAGTTTTGCCGCAACAACCTTGTGTAGCGAGCTCTGCCCGTCCTCCTCATATCTGTTGAGCAAATACTCCAGTAACCGCCATGCGATTGTGGTGGCATTTGCATCACCAGCTACTAGGTCTGAAACACAAACGGTTCATTCCAATATTGGTTTGATTAAAATGAATATTAACATACTAAGGTTGAATTTAAATTTAAGTAGATTTGTGTGATGCCAACACATAATGGAATGCGTTTTAATGTGGATTGATTATTAGGAGGGTTTAGTTAGCTGCCTTCAAAATCTTGGTTGTGGTAACCAGTTTGATAGTGAATCATCTTTCCAGTGTGATTCATCTTTTGCAGTAGATTTCACCAGAAGTAAAAAAAAAACTATCAACAAGAATTTTAAATTGTAGAAAAAGGAGGATAGCAGCTAGCTTACCTTAAAAGTGTGGGTAGGCCATAGAACAAGTAGAAAAACATTTTGCACACAATATTTCGTCCCCTAAGGGACTTTGTCAAGTGTAGAGAGAGTTTATAAATTACAAGATCTTGTAATTTATAATCTTGTAATTTATAAACTCTCTCTACACTTGACAAAGTCCCTTAGGGGACGAAATATTGTGTGCAAAATGTTTTTCTACTTGTTCTATGGCCTACCCACACTTTCAAGGTAAGCCAGCTGCTATCCTCCTTTTTCTACAATTTAAAATCCTGGCCTAGAGCCTTTCCTTAAACAAAACTATCAACAAGAATTGACGTTTCTTCTACATCTTTGGTTTCAAAACTTTTAGGAATCGAGGTTTAGAACCAGCCAATCCCTATTTTTAAGGTCTCTATGGCTTATTCCAGGCGTTTTCACAGCTACCCAAAATTCACGACTCTTACACCGTTTTAAATTTTTCAAAGTTAAGTGGGTATTGTGATTCAATTTCAACTTAAAACTCACACCTAGCTGTGTGTCACTGTCTTATAATAGTACAGTAAAACCTCTTTAACCGAACTAATTGGGTCCGGGGGTAGTTCGGACTATTGAATATTTCGGGTTACAGAACATATTGTTGTTTTTACATAACAATAGCTAGGGAAAAGTGAAAAATACCTTATAAAGTAAAATACAGTAGTAAACATAGGGAATAAACAGTACTGTACATTACAGTTGAAATAATTATGGTGCGTATATCAATAAATACAGTATACAATAAAGAACTTCTGTACTGTGTATAGAGTACAGCAATGAGGGGTTCGGATTAGTGGACGTTCGGATTAAAGAGGTTCTACTGTAATAATAACAGGAATATTTCTACATTTTCCTACCAGATATTTCGTTGAGGAAGAGCCACTCCCAGGCGCGGTCGTTGTCCTGTATCTGCACACAGGCGGTGGTGAGCGCCTCTACAGGCTGGTAGTAAGGCAGCCCACACAGGTGGCACAGGCGCAGAGCCGTCTTATAGTGTCCGGCCGCCACACACTGCGCTACCACCTCCTCTGCTCTAGTGTCTACACATTACACACCATCAGTACCACTCATGCGCTTGATCACATGATAACAAGTCCATGGAGTAATTTGTTTTAAGAATCATGACAAATGATTTTTTCCTTTTTTCTTAGTGACTACTAAGATTTGAATCAACCTAGAAGGAAGTAAGATTTAGTTAGTGAGGTTATCCGAAAAAAAGTCGTAATACAAATATTAGTAAAATATTTTTCCGGAAAACTATCGTTGAATGTTTTTCTTTTAAGTTGTTAAATTAACCTTGAGCTTGAATTAACATAATTAACAATGCTAAGAGACCTACAGTTTACAGTGGTGTCCGAACCACATTTTTGCCTTGTAATTAACGAATTGGTCTAATTATCAGGATGTACTCAATAGTGGGGACGTTAATCCACACCAGGGAGTATCGCATCCACAGTGCATGCATGCATGTATATCCACAATTCATGACCTAGTAGCTGGATTACATGAAGATGCCACCGTCCCAGTCATAGGTAGCCTATATAGACATATTATAACCACTAACTTTACCTGTGGAACAATTTGGAAGTTTACTGCGAGCCAAAGCCAAATTGAACTCTTTGCGAATGTCTTTCAACTCGAGAACCTCTATTGCATCCTGTACAGCAAAAACAATTAATTAAAAACCATAAACTGTATAGGGACCAGCCCATGATAAAAACAAACAACACTGTTCCTCATAAATCTTTAATCAGTAGAACCCAAAAACACTATTTTGTTTACATTGCTGGTTACATGTCTAATCTTCCAAAGAAAGACCCAAACTACAGTAGAATTTGCTCTAGTAGTTTAGCAGCATACCCATGTTACGATTGGAATTTTCAAATTTTTCAAACTCAATATGAGTTACAAACAGCTGTTACCCAATTTCCGTTAGACCATTTTGGTGCGGTTTGCTCTTGAAGAATGGATGTTAGGTTACCTCCTGGTTGTCGGTGGGTTTGACAATCCAAGCATCATAGTGAGGCTCGACAAGCATGAGCGTGTTGAGACAAACTGCGTAACACTGCATTTGTACCTCAGCGTTCTCTGCTCTCATGCCTTGCTCCAACATCACAGACGCTCCTGCGCAAAAACAGAACGATTGGACGTTAATACCATAGCCTCCTCTAATAAAGGGCTATGGAGTTGGTGAATGGCAACGTCACACTGGCCGGCATATTGCCATGGTAATATCAGTAATAACAAAAAAAAGTAAACATAAACACTGCGCAGACGCTCTATTATAAAGGACTTCCAGAATCTAGTGACTCTCAATGATGAGAAAGGGGTCAGTGTCCTCAGTGTTTTATTTGTGTCACTTTCGTGAAGTGGATTGCCTAAAATGTTTAAGGTAAGCCTGCTTATCCTGTCATTTATCCCCTCAATTGTTTGAAATACAAAATTGTTCACAAGTTACGATGACTTTGGACAATGATCCAGAACATGAACTAAATAAAATGAAATAGTGATGTGTCAAAACCAAATCTCAAAACCACCAAAACTTTGGAAACGTTTCGGTTTAAATTTTCGATCAGTGTTTTGAAATTTAAAACTATTTACAGTATTTATTCAATTCACCATTAATCTCAAATACGTGTTATTAGGTTTTATCATTCAGGATCCAATTATTTAAGTTTCAATTTTGAGTTTTAAAAATTTTCTGGTTTCAACTACCAATAGAATGTCATTTTTAAAGGTCAACAATTCTATTCTGTGCCACAAACCTTTTCTATAGTTCATGTTCTTGATGTGCAGTGAGAACAGCACGTTGTAGTAGACCGCAGCACTGGCCGGCTCACGTGTCCTCGCCCTGTCCTCTAGTAGCGCCTCCAGCTTGGCCACCATCCCAGTGTAGGGCAGGTCCAGTAGTAGCTGCAGTTGTCTGGCGTCTACCAGAGCTACGACCAGATCTCGGAGACAGTTCTCTCTCCGCTCTTCCTCTGGGTTAGCCTCCAGACTGGCGTAGGCGTTCATGTAGTGGCCGAGAGCCAGATGGTGCAGGAACTGTGTGGACCGCAGCATCGGCTGAAAACAGATTTTAACACTGGAAGTACGGCTTCGATGGTCACACTTGACTTTTCTAGAAATATTTTAATTTGTTCAGTATAATTCAAATAACCTGAATGTTGGTACACTACTAGTAAAAAGTAGTGTTATTACTGCATGATTGATGGCTATTACAACAAGGTTGAAAAATGTGAAAGACATGGTTTTACCGAAAAGACAATGATACAGTATTGTGAACAGATTTTGGTGAAAACCAAAGACACTTATAACCTAATACCTTACGTTACCTCTGCAACCACTCAAACTGAATTTTTTTTGCCTCACTAACAGCTCTCCCCAATCTGTCTTAGTCAGCACATTATCACTCAAGCTATCATTGTTTTATATGCCTCGGTGGTCTTTTCAGGCGTTATCAAATCTTCTTCAAACATTCTTATATGTTCTGTTGCAAATCTTTTAAATAAAAACAAATATTACAAAAACTATACCAATGAAATTTTTTTCAAGATTTATGCTTTTTTTATGTCCCACCTTCACATTCTAGGATGCTAGTTCTAGTTCTGAACTGTTTTACACATTACTTCAGGCTAGTCCTAGAGGGTTGAAGCATTAGTACATGGATAAAATCCATTGGTGATTGGTGGGATTTGAACCCGGGACCTCAGGCACCGAAGTGCTGTGCTCTGCCGCTAGACCAGCTCGCTTCCCAAAAGCTAATTTTTAGTTGTCGTTGTCAACGTCAATAGGATGTTATAAAAAAAACCACAAACACTTTTAAGGGAATGTACTTCAAAATCCCACAATTATGTGTGGGTTTGCAAGAGATTGCATAAGTCTAAAACTCTAAAAAATTGACAAGCACCCAGACATTCTATGCTACAAGATTTTTAGAGTAGTCATTTTATAACAATGTCTACATCAGTGGTATTTTGTAAGAAAATATTTTAAGGGAATGTGGTTAAAATCCTTATCATTTTTATGGATAAGCCAGGGATTGTCACTCTTGCGCCGAAGTCTGAGATGCTCACCACTAGGCTAGCAACACACCTCTAACTCACACTCAATCTTGTCTTTTCTTAAGTTCACGGCTTCAACCTTCCAAAACATTTTGATAATTTTTTCTAGACTATCAACCGCAATAAAATGTACATAAGCAACACTTCAACAATATTTTTTCATTAGTTTTGCATGACCGCATTTGTGAGGACAACTAGCAGAACTCTTCTTAACTGCCTTTAACCAATGAGTTACTGATTAATTGTATAATGACCACTTATGCTCACCATATGAGGGTCATTGGGATGAGCTTTCTGGACAGCCAAGTCTGACAACTGAAGAACAATGTCAGGATAGTTGTGTTCCTTGAACAGCCGTATCATCTGTAACAATAATGCTCAGAAATCATTTGTACAGCGTCTCAACAACATTAATGAATACCCTGATGGTTACCTCAACTGCCAAAGTAAATATCAAACAATGTTTAATTTAACTCTGTCAAAACATTACAGTGGTTTACAAATTTACTACTACACATCTCCAAAGTTGGTTCTTTTCTGTTCATTCACTAACGTACCACTACCTACTTTTTTATTGCAATTCCGATATTTTTAACAGTTTATGAATTTATCAATTATAAAATGAAACTATTCTCACCTAACCTAACCAGCCAAACTTGCTGTTTATGAATTAATTGCAATAAAAAAGTAGTGTTAGTGAATTAACAGAAAGGGACCCCAACGTAATATAGTAGTTGATGGATATTTCTTAACCCCCTACCTGGACATAGTAAGGGATGTCCTCCACACCCTGGTTGATTACGAGGTCTAAAGCTTTGTAGCCTTCACCTGTCTCCAGCAGTGATTGGATGAGAAGCATCTCCCCTAGGAACAGTTAATCCGTCACAACATAAACGTTATAGACCAACTATAAGCTATATATTTATATACTATAAACTATGATGATAGCTTTGTGAACAGCCGATGTAAGGTAAATAGCGAACAAGCTGATGTTTAATTTTCCCACAATCCCAGTGGAACCACCATGAATGGAAGATACAGTATTTTGATTATTCAAAAGTAAAGATTAAAACTAGCTACCTCGACTAATTACTGAACAACCATACATCTTAGGCCCCGTTTATGCACCAAGTGCGGTAGCGGTAGCGACAGCGGGAGCGATTTCTAACACCATTGAGTTAAATGGGGCTGTTTATGCACCAAGAGCGATAGCGATAGCGGTTGACCTCCCGCTGCGGTTTCTAATTCGCCCGCTGTGTAGTTAGAAATCACAGCGGTTGCCTGGAATAGAGCGGTTTTCAACTACATTGAGTCAAATGGGACTGTTTATGCACGGCGGGAGCGGGAGCAGTTGCAGCCAGGGTTGCCAACTTGACCCACGCGCACGTGCACTTAGGACAAATAGTTGAGTTAATTATTTGGCAGAGTTTGAGTTGGCATGACTGTGTCCCCCTTCCATTCTCCTTTAACCAACCGCTACCGCTATTGCTCTTCGTGCATAAACAGGCCCATTCACCGCGGGAGCGGGCCCGCTATCGCCCCGCTCCCGCTCTTGGTGCATAAACGGGGCCTTAAGTCTTCTAGACCTTGTACAATTCAATGATTCCCGACCAGTTCTACAGAACAACTGCACTGTGATAAAATCAGAATATATGTATTTGAACATTTATAAAACAAGAATTGATTTTATCACGTGAACCGCATCATCTAATTACATTTACGGCCAGACATTTTGCCCTTGCTGTTAAAACAAAAGACATAGTCATTAAAAAGGCTAGGTTTTGGCTACTTTGCAGCAAGGACAAAATTTGCAGTGAATTTTATTTGACGACGCGGTTGACACTTGTGGATATTTATAGGCATTCACTGTGGATGCTGTGATATATTTTAAAGTTATATGCACTAGCAGAAAGTAGTGCTATTTAGTTTGTGTGTGTGGCTGCACTGCCAACGCAATGACGTCACAGCTGATGTCTCTGAACCGGCCTCAGTCTTCGTTATCACTACAGGTTAGTCGCTGTATTATTTCTATGTGCGGTTCTTTTAACGTTGTAGTAATCCGATATAATATAGGCGCAGTCGGTAAAAATGTCGAGTGTGGGACGAATGGGAGAATTTAATCCCAGTGAAGAAGATATTTCGTCATATTTGTTGCGTTTGAAACATTATTTTATTGCGAATGATGTCAAGGCCACGAGCAAGGTTTCTGTTCTAATCACCGTGTTAGGTCCTAAAGTGCTCGCAGTGTTACGGGATGTAGTTTCCCCTGAAAAAGTGGACGAATTAGATTTTGATAAACTCGTTAAAGTACTGGAACAACATTTTTCACCCAAACGTTTAATAGTGGTAGAGCGTTATTTGTTCAATTCCCGCTCGCAGAGGTCGGGTGAAAGCATCTCAGATTTTGTGGTTGCGATAAAACATCTTTCGGCTTCTTGTCAATTTGGAACATTCCTAAAGGACGCTTTAAGAGATAGGCTAATCTCGGGAATTTCCAATGAACAAATTCGGCAAAAGTTATTGTCGGAGGAAACAGATTTTGATAAAACTTTAGCGTTGGCGCTCACGTTAGAACAGGCAGACAAGCACACAAACATGTTTCTCAGCAAACAGGAAAATTTTCAGGATTTGAACAAGTTTCATGTTAGGAAAACCACGTGGCCTAGGGGTGGCAAAATGAAAGAAAGTGAAGGTGCTACGAAATTTTTTAAGTGTTACAGGTGCTTGAAGACCGACCATAAGGCAAACAATTGCCCATATGACAAATATAAATGTCATATATGTTCAAAAGTGGGTCACCTAGGAAAGGCATGCAAGGCCAAGGATAGAGGTAGTAAAGCTACTGGAGGTAAATATAAAGTGCATCAGATGTCTGAAAGCCCTAGTGAGGAATGTGAAGAGCTAAATTTGTACAATATTGGGCTAGGCCTAACTGACCCTAACTCTTGTTACAAGGTAAGAGTAGCCATAGAAAATGTAGACTTAGACATGGAGATTGATACAGGATCTGCTATCACAGTATGTCCATTTGAAGTGTATGAAAAACATTTTTCTCAATTACAATTGACTTGTAGTAATGTAAAATTACGTGCCTATTCTGGTGATGAAGTTAAGGTAGTAGGCCAAGTAGATGTTAACGTGGTTTATGAACAGACAAGCTACATGTTGCCTATGACAGTAGTGGATGTAGATAAAGCCAATGCACCGTTGCTGTTAGGTAGAAATTGGTTGCAAAAAATAGTTTTGAACTGGAACTCTATTTTTTCAAGTAAGCCTAATGCAGTCCAGACTCATAAGCTCTGTACACAGTCTAGGCCTAGTTCTCGAGACCATGATGTTTTGGCAGAACCTAGCCTAACCAAGGTCCAAGTGCCTAAAGATGTTGATCTTTTGAAAAATAAATATTTGTCTGTATTTAAAGGTAAAATAGGTGAAATTAAAAATGTGAAAGCTCACATAGTATTGAGAGAGGGGTCGACTCCGAAATTTTGTAAATTTAGGCCAGTGCCTTTTTCATTACGCCATAAGGTTGAAGAAGAGTTACAGAAGATGGTGGATGACGGTGTAGCCTATCCAGTGACTAGTTCGGAGTGGGGCACACCATTGGTAGTCATACCTAAACAGCAGGGAGTTAGGTTATGTGGTGATTTCAAGGTTACCTTGAATCAGGTAATTCAACATGAGCATTACCCTTTGCCTCAACCTGATGATATATTTGCGGCACTGTCGGGATGTCAGTTCTTTTCAGTGTTGGACTTGCAGTCTGCGTACCTACAGATGCCTGTTGCGGAATCGT